CATGGGACAGGGGAGAAGCAGATCCCTCTCGTCCCTCACCCCAATGGGACCCTGAGATGACACCCACGAATTGCCCCCGGCTACTTATTAAGCTCCTTAGTGGCGATGATCCCAGAGACACACAAATAAATGCCAGGATTTAACAGCTCACTGCAGAGATCTCTCCAGACCTTAATGTTGGTGCCCAACCAGGTCATGAGGAGGAGTTCTTGGACAGTGCCCTGCAAGCAGGAAGCAGAACCAGGACCCCACTTTGAAATAAGTGGGCGAGCCTAAGCTTGTGAATCTGATTGGTCTGGAAAAGGCCAAACCGCCCCTTTGGGGCCAGAAAATACAAAGAAGGAGCTGCCCCTTCTCAGGATCTCAGACCTAGCTAACCTTTAGATGGAAACATCCTCTCCTGTTTATCACAGACCCCAGGTGTGAGGAAGTCATGACCTATGGAGCCTAGTGCTCGACCATGTTTTCGTCCTTGGAAATTGTCACTGACCATATTTTCCTTCCTGGATATTGTAACTGTTTGCCTCATAAATAGGGCAAAACAATGTATACTTTGATACATGCTCATCCTGTACCTCCCTTTTCTTGCTTGTTTTGAGTCTTTCTACTCTGTTGAATTTCATTGGATGTATTTACAATAAGACAGCAAATAAAAGGAAGGACTGAGCCACCTGATCTTGGTTACAAGAGCTGAGTGAGTCCTGTGATCTTCTGGGGAAAAATAATTTCTCTTGAGTTCCTTATCTCCGCACCTTGGCCTGCCTAAATGAACGTTCTTACAACACCCTAATTACTAACATTTTAGAATTCTAGGACATTATATATTATTCATCACCTGTAATCACTTGTCATCCCATTATTAATTTGCTTGAGTGGGCACCAGTAACGTTCCCACTTGTCCCTGTCTCGTGCTAGTGTAGCCCAATGGCATCTGCTTGTTCCAGGAACAGGAAGAGCGTCAAACTCTTCATTCAGGGACTGAAAGAAGTCCGACCATCTCATAGGTGGGCGACCTGGCGTTCTTCTGACGTCCCATGGAATCCAGTCCGTAATGGTTCTAGTCCAGTGGTCACTTACAAATCACATTATGTGCTATTCATAACAAGCAATGCAAAACCAATTGTCTAGCATGGCCTTTTTGGCAGATTTGAGTGGTGGCAGGAAAATTCCAAATAATAATGGTGGGACTGGTGTCAAAATACTGAATGTAATCAAACTAAAGAGAGTATTGTGGAAATTGTCGGCTATGCAGGCAGGGGAAGAGTTGGGAAGGGGGGAATACTGGGGATTTTGGTGGTGGAAAATGTGCACTGGTGAAGGGATGGATGTTTCGTCATTGTATGACCGGAAAAACTCAAACATGAAAGCTTTGTAACTGTGTCTCACAGTGATTCGATAAAAAAATGAAATAAAAAAAGACATACTTCAGGAAGATTCTTCAGCAAGCCTAGACAAAGCGGAGTGTGGAGAGGCCACTTCAAGCCAGTCTTCTGTTTCATGAAGAAAAGGACATCGCAGATACTTGAAGAGTGAGAGCAAATGGATGACGGCTGCTCTCATCAAGATGGATCACAATACAAAACTTCAATTTGGATTTTTGCTTTTATAGGACATTTGATGTGACAATGTAATTTAACATCACCAAACGGGCCGGCGAGATGGTTCAATGAGAGAAGGAAGCGAAAACACACAGCAATCATTTATTAAACACAAATATAAATCCCGGAAAAGAAACTTCTGCAATATGTGCAAACGTAGAACAGAAATGGGGCCAGGTGTATATAAGGCACTTGCTTTATATGCAGCCAACCCTGTTTGATCCCCAGCTATAAATATAGTCCCCACCAAGCACTGCCAGGAGAGATCCCTGAGTATCGTTCTGGAGGTGCTCGGTGAGCTGTGAACACTGCTAAGTGAGGCTCAAAACCCAAAAAACATATACGATAGAAACAAAAAGACACTGCACACAAGTTTCGAATTCAACTTGCTTTTTCACATTAGCACAGGAGTAAAAATTTGGAAACTAGCACTGAACCCCTGTTTAGCACTGAGAAGAACAAATGATCTAGTATATCAAAGGAGAAAAGAGACAGGAATGGCCACTGGAGGAAGGCCAAGGAAGAAGCCAGAAGTTCTGGATGGGAAATAGAGAAACATTATCTTTTATTGTTATTTGTTTTCATTTGGGGCCAGGCTGTGCTCAGGGCTCTGTGCTCAGGGATCACTCCTGCTGGGCTCAGGGTACTATACTGGGTAATGGGGATCGACTCGGGGTCTGATGCATGCAAGGCAAGTGCCTTCCCTGATGTACTATCTCTCCAGATCCCCATTATAAAGCAAGTGATTAGCCTTTATCAAGCCCTGTCCTCTGTACTGGCCTTAGAGGTATCAAGGTGCCCAGTGAGATTTCAGAATTGCTATGAGCTAGTGGCTGCCATGAGTTTTTCGTTCCCGTGTTTCAGTGCAAGTGAGCAGAGTGGATGTTGGGTCCTGGTGTGGCCACTGAATTTTGAGATTGGGGCAGGAGATACGGCTTGTCTTTCGGTTCACAGAGGGGGTTCACCTAAAGGGCTTGTACTCAGGGCACCCCACTGCAGAACTCTGTCTAATCCAGACTTGAACCAGGGTGACGATGGGTCCTGGGGGCGGGGGCTGTGGGGGAGGCATCTCCTCTGCTTGTGGGAAGGAAAGTCCTGCTCTGGGCACAGGGTGGACCCCGATGTCTCTCAGGACGGTGCCACCCTCTTCCCAAGCGATTCTCTTCCTTGAAAGGTGCCAAAGGCTGGAGCAATGGCACAGCAGGTAGGGTGTTTGCCTTGTACGTGGCCAACTCGGGTTTGGTTCCCAGCATCCCATATGGCCCCCTGAGTACTGCCAGGAGTAACCCCTGTGCATCGCCAGGTGTGACCCAAAACGAAAAAAAAAGGAAGAAATATGCCACTCATCCCATCCAGAAGCACCATCGATTTCTTCTCCTTTTGAGGTTAACTTAACTAATGGTTATGTGGCAGAGTGGCTTGGGGCAAGCACGAATGGGCTTAGCTGACACTTCAAGAGCAAAAGGAAGCATCTCTGGATGCGCCCGAGACCCCGACCTGCAGAGTCCCGGGCCATAGTATGACTTTTTTCGAACCATGAAACTGAGCAGCTATTGGTGCAGAGCTCTAGAGAGCTGATTTTTTCGGGGTCAGCTGGGGTCACTGTTGGGCAGGGGGTCTCATTCACAAAGGCGGGGTGACTTGAGCATCAATGATGCTCTTCCCTGTAATGTTAAATATATTCTACTCATATATATATCACGGTCATGGTCCTCCCGTTGTTCATTGATTTGCTTGAGCGGGCCCAGTAACGTCTCCATCATGAGACTTGTTGTTACTGTGTTTGGCATACCTAATACGTCACGGGGAGCTTGCCAGGCCCTGCCGTGCAGGCAAGATACTCTCGGTAGCTTGCCGGGCTCTCCGAGAGGGGCAGAGGAATCGAACTCGGGTCAGCCATGTTGGCCACTTGTAAGGCAAACGCTCTACCACTGTGCTATCGCTCCAGCCCTGCACAGTGGTAGGGTGTTTGCCTTGCATGCAGCCAACATGGCCAACCAAGTTCCATTCTTCCACCTCTCGGAGAGCCCGGCAAGCTACCGAGAGTATCTCGCCTGCACAGCAGAGCCTGGCAAGCTACCCGTGACATATATATATTCTAAATATATTCTACAATATATTTAACATTATAATGATGACATAGCTAACCTTATATGTAACGTGATTATAAGGCTAACTGTGTTTAAAATACCTGAGCTATATTGAAATCCATGAGTCCAAGATACTGTGAAGGAAAAGAAATAACGCCTTCCTTGGTACCTCCAACCAGAGGATGTTAGGGAGTCAACCCATTATCTTTTTCTGTTTTTTTTTTCTTTTTGGGTCACACCCAGCAATGCACAGGGATTGCTCCTGGCTCTGCACTCAGGAATTACTCCTGGCGGTGCTTGGGGGACCATATGGGACCATAAGGGATGCTGGGGATTGAATTCGGGTCAGCCGCATACAAGGCAAATGCCCTACCCAGTGTACTATCGCTCCGGCCCAACCAACCCATTATCTTGAGCACTTTAAATAAAGAATCCAATGTTTAGCCTATCCTGGCTGTGTCATCTCTATTTCAAGCTCACCAGATATTGCTGAAGGGAAGCTCTTTGCAAAAGAATTCTTATTCTGGGGCTGAAGCCATAGGATGGCGGGGAGGGCACTTGTCTTGAATGTGGCTGACCCAGGTTCAATTCCTGGCATCTCCATATGGTCCCCTGAGTACCACCAGGGGTGATTTCTGAGTGCAGGGTCAGGAGTAACCTTTAAGCATCTCCAGGTGTGGTCCAAAAAAAAAAAATTCTGATTCAACCCTAGGGAAGGAATAATAGCACCCGAACACCATCACTCTGGAACTCTGGTTGAAATGATGGATTTAGACAACGGGCACCAGTTGTCTCTGTGAGGGCTGAGAACAACTGGTGATGGTGGGAGATAGATCAGGCTGATAGCAGATCATGCTGCTTTTGTCTTAACCTCACAAAGAAATATGCAGCCCCACCAGTGAAGTCTGTTTGCTAAAAAAAGACAAAACAAACAAACAAACCCAAAGTGAAACAAAGTCCTCCAGAGCATGTACCTAAGGAAATCTTCAGATCTAACTTCAAGCAAATTTGCACACGCACACAAACTATACCAGGGACAAAGAAACGTCCCAGAAAAATAGAGCATGATAAAGTTGAATAGGACAACAAACAGATGTCAAGGAAATAATTGTGAAAGGAAAGAAATAACACAGCAGAGAAAAAGGGACTTAAAGTGACAGATAAGTCCCAGTGTTTGGACACTCATGGAACAAACACAGCCTGAAAGGACTCAGGGAGCCGGGACCCCGGGAGCTGTGCTGGGGTACTTAGGCCATGAAGAAAATGCGGATGAAGTACCTTTCACAGGTGTTAAAAAAAAGAAATGATGAAAGGAGGTAGAAGGTGTGGTTGTGGTGGTCAGGGGCTGGATTTGGGTCCAGCGAGCAGCCAACACCACCTCAGAGCCTGGAAAGCCACAGTCAGTGCCCTTGTCACTTGGAACCGGACTTGGGGTTCAGGATTCCAGGATGGGGTCAGGGCACCCGGAACCCATTCTCACTGGCTCCATGAAGCGTCAGCGTCTCCTTCAGGTTCTTTTCAAACTCAGTCTCTAAATCCAGGCCCACGTCACCCAAGTCGGAATCCTACAAAGAGATAAAAGCAAACAGACGTCAGAGGACAGTGGATTAGGGACCTGCTCTCTGTCTCCGTCCGCATCAGGACCCTAGCAGGTGGCAGAGACACTGGTGATAACACTGAAATGGAGGAAATTCTGCCCGATGGTCATCTTTGGCCTAGCTTTGATCACTGCCCCCCCCCCCCCATGCCTGGCACAATGTAGAAAGACGAAGCATTGCTCCGAGCCCCCTCAGGGGAGGAAGGATGAATGAACCTTCCAGGGGCTGCTCTCTCCTCCAGCTCTAGGCTACTGGGATGCCGCTGAGGGATCAATTCACCACTGGGAGCACATGGATGAGCAAGCACTAGGCACTGAAGGAGGCTAGAAAGATGAAAGCACCTTTAGATGCCTCTTGGGAGACTGGACAAGCGAGTGTGGACACCAAGCTCGGTTCAGCAACTGGAGTCAAAAGGGTCTGGGGTTTCAGCGTCATGGTCTTACCCAGGGAAAGACAACGCCAGCGTCACAAGGGGAAGATCTCTGGGGGAGCCGGAGCAGAGAGAGTCAGAGTGGAGACCGTTGAGATGGGAGAGGCAGTGTGGAGAGCGATGGAGCACAAGCATCCCAGAAATCACACTGATTTGGTTTGGTTGGTTGCACAGCGGGTAGGGCGTTTGCCTTATACACAGTCAACATGGCCGGCCCGAGTTCGATTCCTCTGCCCCTCTTGGAGAGCCCGGCAAGCTACCGAGAGGATCTTGCCTGCATGGCAAAGCCTGGCAAGCTACCCATGGCGTATCCGATATGCCAAACACAGTAACAAGTCTCAAAATGGAGACGTTACTGGGTCCACTCGAGAAAATCGATGAACAACGGGAGGACAGTGACAGTGACAATGAACCAAGGCTTTTACTGGTGCCCTGGTGCTAGAAGCCTCATAGAATACTTTCTCCTGAAATTTTTTTTTTGACCGTGTGTGTGTGGAGGGGGGGATTGTGTGTGCATGGCTGGCACACCCAGTGATGCTGAAAGCTTACTCCTAGCTCTGCACTCTAAGATCATTTCCGGTGGGCCTCAGGGAACCATCTGGGGTGCTAGGGACCAAGCCCTGGTTGGCCACGTGCAAGGCAAATATCCTCCTTGCTGTACTCCACTCTGAAGTCCATTGGCCATTTTTTATTTTTTTTATTTTTTTGCTTTTTGGGTCACACCCAACAATGCTCAGGGGTTCCTCCTGACTCTGTACTCAGGAATTACTCCTGGCAGTGCTCAGGGGACCATATGGGATGCTGGGGATCGAACCTGGGTTGGCTGGATGCAAGACAAATGCCCTACCCACTGTGCTATGGCTCCAGGCCCGTCCTGGGCCCTTTTCTTTGGGGGAGTCCCTTGTCTTCCTGAACCTGCTCCCTAGGGTGAGGTCCGCCTCGTGCAGACCTGGAATTGCCCCCAGCAGAGGGCAGCCAGCACTTGACCTTGTGGAACTCCCGGTGGTTACGGAAGATGAGGCGCATGTCCCGCACGAACCACGACACCGTGTAGACTTTCTCCGCCAGCCGTTCCTTCACCAGGTTCAGCCACATGGCTTCCTTAAAGGGCTCGCCGTAATCGCGAATCTGGGAACAAAGGCACCCATGGGTGGGGGGTGGGGGAATTGTTAGCACGATCGCCCACGCTGGGAGGGACCCAGCTGAAAGGCATAGAGGCCTGGAGCATCCTAACATGGTCCAGGAGCCATCCATCATCTGACACGCAGACCGGCCGAGGAGAGGGGCCGAGGCTGGCTTCAGAGGTCAGGGGTCAGGGGTCAAATGGCCCACCCAGGATTTCACATCTCAAGGCGGGAGCTGGGGCTGGGACCTCAGTTCTGAGTCTGTGGGAGTCCCATCCCAGGAAAGGAGGAACGGGCGAACAGGGGTGCTAACCACACCACACCTCCCCCACCCCGGGGGCCCAGAGCCAGACGCAGGTGGGCTGGGCTGGGCTGTGGCCTGGGTTGGGTCTGCAGCAAATGAACCCGCAGCCTGCCCAGAACAGCACCTCTGGACTGGTGCTCGGGGGCCGAGAGTCACCAGCCAAGACTTACATTGTGTGGGGTCCCCGCGAAAAAGGAGCCTTGTGGATGGCAGTAGGCCTTCAAGAGGAGCAGCTCGCATTTCTGAAAGAGGCGAAGGGGCTTCTAAGGACCACGACACAGCTGGGAGAGCAGGAGGTGGACGCGGCCAACAGGCGTGGCCAGACCCCGCAGGCTTGTGCCTTCCCCGGGGGTTGGGGGGGGTCCCCATCAATGTGGGCCCTCCTCTCTGCCCTCATGGACGGGAGTGAGAGAGGGCAGCTCGAACGTAACCCCCCAACTCACTAGCTGCACCTCTGGCTCCATTTGCCTTGCCGGGGCCTGAGATTTCCCGAGATGCTGCTGGTTTCCAGAATATTCCTTCATCCTGCAGAAGGTGCAGCTCCACAGCTTCCTGAAGCATTGGGGAGGAAACGGCCTGTTGTCTGAGGCTGCCAAGGCGCCCTCCCCAGCATCTCTGAGCTCCACGCACATCTCTGAGGAACGAGCTGCCCACACAGGGTGGTCACAGGCTGCCATGCATGGGGGTCCCACCAAGCCCCAGGGTCCGAGTGAGGCCTCAGTGGATGGCCATGCCACCTTGATCTCGTCTGGTCTTGCAGACTAAGCAGGGTGAGGCAGGTTCATACTCGGTGGGAGATCAAACGAGGCCTTGGCGGGGGGCCCTGGTAGAATGAACCACCCGGGCCACCCTTCCTGCCTTTTCCATATTTGTCGTCTTACTTAGGGGCCCGTCCTGCGGGGCTCAGGGGGGACCCATGGCTGACAGGGACCCAAACCTGGGCTGGCGACAGGCAAGGCCAATGCCCACGCTGCCGTGCCATCTCTCTAACCCTCAAGAGCAACCCACGTTGGCGCCTCTAGCAGCACCCGCATGCCCCAGCCCCGACGAGAAAACCCGGGGCTGCTGTCTCCAGCGGCCAACAGGCTCGGCCACACACCACGAGGCCACGGGCAGCTGCCGGGTCCTCACCTGTCTGCCCCCACGGCCGGGATGTGGCAGTCCCTGTGGAAAGCGCGGTCACAGCTGGCACAGCCGAGAAGCTCCCCCTGCCCACGGCACACCTCACACTCCTTCCAGTCAGGCCCCTAGGAGAGAGAACCGGGGTGCAATGGGGTCAGGTCACATCTCCCTGGCTGCCCCTCCCAACCCCCCATAACAGTGGTGCCTGGGACATGGGCAAGAGGGCCCCGGCCTCTCAGTCTAGCGGAGCAGGGAGCTGAGAACCAGGCTGCCCAGGCTGCCCGGGATAAGGGCCTGGGAGGTCAGCATGGGAAGCCCCGGGTCCACCCAGCGCAGGCCGAGAGCCAGGAGGCAGCACAGGGCTGCGGAGAATCGCAGACCTTACCCCAGGATTTACTGATTGATGTATTTATTTTGCTCTTTGGGCCACATCCAGTGATGCTCAGGGGTTATTCCTGGCTCTACGCTCAGGAATTACCCATGGTGGTGCTTGGGGGACCATATGGGATGCTAGGAATCGAACCCAGGTTGGTTGCATTCAAGGCAAATGTTCTACCCACTGTGCTATTGCTCCAGCCCCATACCCCCGCTGGTATTCTTCTGGATTTATTTGTATTTGTGGGGGAGTGTCCAGTCCACACCTGGCCAGGCTCAGGGCTTCCTCCCGGCACTGCACTCTGGGAATCACTCCTGATGGTGCTTGGGGACCCCGTGCAGTGCCGGGGACAAAGTGGCCATCGTTCCCTGTGTTTCTCTTCAGCCCTCCCTGATTGTGGAGCTGTGGGTGACAAGCTGACCACCAGTCCCGGTGTTTGGGGAAGACTGGACCCCATCCTGCCCTGGCAGGCCTCCAGCAGACTCCTGGCTCCACCAACAGAGCCCTGACCCCCCCCCCCCAAACTCTTTCTCCTGCTCTGGTTTGCTCACAGGCTGCCCCACTGGGCCCCAGCAGCCCTCCCGGGGGTGCTGTGGCTCTTTCCAGGATGAAGAACTGACCGCCTGGAGCACTTAAAGGGAGGAAGGAGAGGGCGACCCTGCCTGCCCAAATGCATCCTGCATGGGGACCTTCCATCCACAAAGGCTGCTGTCAATTGACACTGGACCCTATGAAATTCCTTTCACAGAGGACAAGGCCTGGGTTCCCTTCGTCAGGCTGGCTGCACAGACCCAAGACTGATTTCTGGGTTTTGGGTTTGGGGCCACACCCAGATATGCTTAGGGATCACTCTTGGTGGGGCTCTAGGGACCCTGTGTGGTGCCGGGGATGAAGCTGGAGTGGGCCATGGGCGAGGCAAGCACCCAGCCCACTGTACCATCTCCCCAGCCCGGTCCGAGAATGTTTTGTGTCCCTGTTGGTCGGGCCCAGGCAGCCATCTCCACCAGGAGACAAGGCCATCTGGACATGGCATGTGGGACAGGCAACATCTCAAGGATGAAGGTGAAGTCTGCCTGCTTTTCTCTATTTCCTCTGCTAATACCCTAAGAGCACAGGTTGATATTTTCAGGTGGTACACCCTTGAAGGTCCCTATTGGACATTTGCCCAACACCCTCCCTCAGTGGCTGGCAAGCACTTGGCTGGCGCAGGTGGCTATTCCATTCTGGTGATGCTGAGTTAACCAGCAGCCCGTGGCCTCTGGCTTCACCTCGGCAGAGATGCACGTCACCGCACGGCCATGAGTAGACAGCTCTGCCGTTGCATACAATCTCTGCGGGCAAGACCTTTGCTTTAGCCAACCTATCTCCGGCACACAAGCAGCCACCACCACACCAATGCCCACCTTCTCGCTGGATGTGCAAAATACGGTGTCACACCCCAGAGCACACTCCCAAAAAGGATTGGGCCCCACACGCCCATAACACAAACAACTCTTCCGATTTCTGGGTATCATTTAGTCGGCTTCAGCATCGCTATCCTTGACACGCAGAGGAAACAAGTGTTTCCTCTTACAACCCACAGCAATGGCCCTCTGTGGGTCAACTAGGGAGGCAACAAAGCCCTCACCAGCGGGCTCTGTGGGCCTCCCTTTATGTGGCCACTTGTAAGTCAGTCCACAACTAACAGGGTCGTCCAAGAAAACCCGAACCACCCAAGAAACAGCAAAAACTGTCTTCTGTGTGATATATGCCACGAACACAGCAACGTTGGCTGCAAACTGGGCCCTGGCCTCGAGGAGCTCACAGCTCCCACACTCTTGATTCTGCCCCCACTGGCTGTTCTGCTGTGGGCCTGAGGGACAGTCACAGCCCCCAGGGTAGCCACAGAGCACGTGTCTGCAGTCTTAGCCGTGGGCCTCTTAGTGAGACCCAGTGGAGCTGGGTTGGCTCCACGCACAGGAAGTCTTCACCTGGGGCCTTGGAAACCACATAGGTGGTGGGACCTGCCTGAGCTGGGTTATCCGCTTCAACAAGCGTCCAACAGCAGCACATCACGAGCACATCACACTGACCTCTAAACCAAGGCCTCACTCATGTCCAGTGTCGAACGATCTTCTGGATTCATTCACTCAATGCCTGAGCTTGGGCAACAGTGCAGGCTCAGAAGCCAAAACAGGACACGGACCATGGCTCACAAACACCCTCACTGCCACTGGGACAACTGCCCTGGGACAAGACAGCTCATGGGTGTGTCTTTGGGAGACAGGGATAAACTGGGGATTCATGAAGACCGTTAACTACCTCGGCTGCTGCTCCCTCTGCCGCCAGTGGAATAAGGCAATCGTATGGAACACGCTATCTGCAGCCCCGATGTGCCGGGGAAGGGACAGAGGGAAGGGTCCGAACTGGTCCCTGGTTGTCAGAATCAACTCCAGTCATTGTTGAAGTTCTTGCTCAAGGGGTCAGCATGTCCCCGGCTAGCACGGCTGACCTGAGGCATCACAAGGAAGAAAAACTGTACTGTCAGGTCATTGATTCAGGCTCCGGATTTTAAATACCTTTATAGCATTTTTTTCCCCATTGGAGGACATCTGGTTATTAGAAGTAACACATGGTCATTATAATGGTTCTACCTATCTAAATATATAATAGAAGAAAATGAACCTTCCGTGTTCTGATTCTAGAATGATTGATTCTTGCAGTCACAAACCTACATATTTACTTGAACAAAATCAGGCTCCTTGCACATGGAAAACTGCTAGTTTAAGTTGACTGGAGTTTGGGGGCTGAAGAGCTAGTACAATGGGTAAGGCATTTGCGGGTTTGATTCCTGATACCAAATAGAGTCCCCCCAGGACGACTAGGAGTGATACCTGAGCACAGCTAGGTGTGGCCCCTGAAACAAAACAATATTTTGTTTTTTTTTCCTTAAATTTTTTTTGGCTTCCCAAGCTTCAGTCTTCTATCAAGTGGAGAATGAGTTTATACCATGCTTTTTTTTTAAATTATCATTCTGTAGATTACAAGTTGAATCTTCCTTAAGTTTTTTCTATCACACAGGGCACCCAAGTATATGTCAAGGCATTTCAAATCAGCATGGAAAAGATATTTACATACTAAACAGCATGGGTGTGGGCCTGGGAGGGTGGGAAATTCACTTTGATAAACTTGGACTGAATCCAGAAAATAGCCAGACCAGCCTCCAGGTTAAGACAGGGGAAGAACCACTGTCTCTGCTGGAATCTCATCTCTCATGAAATGCTCATGAACGGGACCTGTATTTAAGAACGTTTTATTTTTTATGCTTATGGGGTCACATCCAGTGGTGCTCAGGGGTTACTCCTGGCTCATGTACTCAGGAATTACTCCTGGCGGTGTTTGAGGGAACATATGGGATGCTGCGAATCAAACCCGGGTTGGCTGCGTGCAAGGCAAGTTGCCCTGCCCACTGTGCTATTGCTCCAGCCCCTTAAGAATATATGTAAGCAAGTGGGGGAGTCTGAGAAGGAGTAACTGGGAGCAGCCAAGCAGTGACTCCATTTTCACCCCACAGGGAGGCTTGGCAGAGAAAGACTCTGTCCAAACACACAATTCCACTCTGGCACTACAGCCAAAAAGCATGTGGAAATGAGGAACCAAGGACCTTCCATCATAGACGGGCCTCCTGGCCTTCTCAACACAGTCCAGGACGGCTTCCACCCCATAACTCTCAAATAAAAGCCACTTCTAATGCTTAGGGTTTGTGATCATCAACCATGCAGATCTTTTCTCTACAACGCGTGTGCATAATCCTTACCCTAGTTCTAATCTTCCCTTCCCCCTAGCTATGAAAACAATCGCAGAGTGACCAGTGGTCTGCACGCCAAAGCCAGTATCCCACAGATGCAGGACAGAAAGGTGAAAGTCAGCCAGGATGGGGCTGGAGTGATAGTAGGGCATTTGCCTTGCACACGGACGACCCGTGTTCAATTCCCGGCATCCTACATGGTCCCCCGAGTACCGCCAGGAGTAATTCCCGAGTGCAGAGTCAGGAGTAACCCCTGAGCATTGCTGGGTGTGACCCAAAAGAAAAAAAAAAGAGTCAGCCAGGACTTAAGGGCTCAAAAGGTGCGGCTTTGCCCAGGGAAACCTGGCCACAGGGGGCAACCCAGAAGGTGCTGGAAACTGCCCTGCTACTTACCTCTCTTTTGACACTCATCCTGGGAGGGCAGAGCAAAAGTCCTTTCTAGAAGAGAGAAGCGGGGCAATCAATGGGTGTTCTTAGGTACATGCTGACAAATCTTTGTACCCGGATTTCCTACTGGGTCCCAAGCCCAGGATGTCTGAATGGAAAAGTCACCCTTCCTCTAAACACTTCTTTTTGTTTTGGCCATGCTTTTTTGTTTTAGTTAACTTCTGGCTCTGTGCTCGGGGGACCCTATGTGATGCCGGGGACCGAGTCTGGGTCAGCCGCATGCCAGACAAGCACCCTAGCGCTGTGTTCTCACTCTAGCCCTCTAAGTCTTTTTGTGGGGCTTCACTTACAACAGTCGCTTTTCTCCTGTCACTCAAACCTCCCACTTGTTCCTGCTTCTTTCCTGGTTCTTACTTTTTTTTTTTTTGTTTTTTGCTTTTTGGGTCACACCGGGCGATGCACAGGGGTTACTCCTGGCTCATGCACTCAGGAATTACCCCTGGCAGTGCCCAGGGGGCCCATATGGGATGCGGGGAATCGAACCTGGGTCAGCCGTGTGCAAGTCAAACGCCCTACCCGCTGTGCTATCTCTCCAGCCCCCAGGGTTTTTTTGTGTGTTTGTTTGGTTGTTTGCTGGTTTGGTGTGGGGATCCCACTCAGGGCAGTGCCTAAGACTTACTCCTGGCTCTGTGCTCAGGGGTCGCTCCTGGAAGTACTCCGGTGGACCACAGGAAGGGATCGAACCAGGGTCAGCTGCACGCAAGGCCAGCGCCCCACCCACTGCCCAGGTCAGCCCACCCCCACCCCCGCCCCTGCGTCTCTTCCTCTGTGGATCCAATCCTATGATTCCCAGTGACTGTTCTGTGGAGCTACTCGGTGGAGGGCCCCAGAGCTCACCCAGCCAGTCTGCTGCACTGGCTGGAGAGAGACTATGGTGGGTGACTTTGGTGGGTGTGCAGAGGGGCCCAGTCTGGTGGAGAGGGTCTTTCTTGAGGAAATATTCCTAACGTTGAGGGCTGCGGGTGTAGAACTTCACCTGACTGTGTCCTGACACTCCCCCATCCCCCGGCCCTCAACTCCTCTGCCTATAGGTCAAGTTCTTGGTCATCAGACGCATGGGCACCCCCGATACTCTGCTTGCACATGGCAGCTGGAGCCACTTCCCGGCCGTGCTGGGGCCCTTCTCGCACCTCCAACAGATGCTCCAGGGTCTGGCCCCTGCACCGCAGACTCCGCCTCCATCTCTTGGACTTGCCCCGTTGTCCTTCAGCTTCAAACTCCTGGGGGGTGACCCATTGGCCCTGCGCGTTCTGGATGCACTTCTCGGAGGGTCCTGCAAGGTGGGCACAGCTTAGGTGGGGGGCTTGAGCCTAGCCTCTGGGACTCCGCCCAGACTTGCAACCCCGTTGTGGGCCCAGAGAGACCCCTGTGAGGAGTCTGCATTGCTCCTCTCTCTGGTCAGAGGGAGCTCCAGACCAGAGCAGGGGACACTCTGTCCCTCAGGCCAGCAGCCAGGGCCCAGGACGCTGCCCAGACCCACAGACAGCGTCAGACCCTCTGACACCGCAACGCTCAGACCTTCCTTCCTTTACTGTTATTTATTTATATATATATTTGGCGGGGGTGGGGGTGGGGGGATACCCAGTAGTGCTCAGGTCTTCCTCCTGGCTCTGAAGCTCAGGGATCACTCCTGGGGGCATTTAGGGGACCATCTGGGGTGCCAAAGACAGAGCCCCTGTTGGCTGTATGCAGGGAAAACACCCTACCTGTTTCCCTATGACTTTGGTCCCTGAAATCTCTTTCTTAGAAAAAAAAAATATATATATATGGATTTTGGACCACTCCTGGCTCTGGGCTCAAGTATCACTTCCGGTCATGCTCCTGGATACACAGGGTCAGGAATCAATGGGTCAGCTGGATGCCTGGAAACTTCCATCCTACATGGCTCAGCTGGCTCGGGTCTTCCTCAGAGCTGGCCTGAGGCTCCACTTCCTGCTCATCCCTCCCCCACCCACCGCAGGGATCTCCTCTCCCTTCGAGCTCACTGGGTCACCGAGGGTCCCACCAGAGGGAGGACCGAGTCACTCACCCTGCTTCATTTTCTGTGTGTATAACAATCCTCTGGTCTCACCACAGGTTATAGGCAGCACAGGCAAGTGAAAATTCTCACATTCAACTCCGGTGATTTCTGAAAGTAGAAGAGAAGAGAGCCACGGGGCATCGTCACCCTCTCTCTCAAGGGGTCCATGTGCCACGTGCCACGGAACCACCCCACAAGATGCATCCAGCTCCTCCCGGGGGATGTGTTTGCGTCGGAGCCAACGGCTTTCCGGCCACGTCCTGCAGTGCTGACTTAAGGTGTCTGTCTGTCTGTCTGTCTGTCTGTCTCTCTGCTGACTTAAGGCATCTGAGAGAACTCTCTCTTTCTCTCTCTCCCCCACCTCCTCTCCCTCTCACACTCTCTGCGCTCCTGGAGACCCCCAAGATACGATTCCTCCTCCAGATCCCGCGTCAGCCCCTCAGAGAGGAAGAAACTCCCAGCACAGCTGACCCATCTGCACATCGTATGTGGTGGGGTTCGAAGGTTCGGAGCCTCCTCTGAATGGGGATCTGACTCTGAAATGGTCATTAAAGGGTGTAGGAGAGTGGTCAGGGACTCCTCCCCACATCCGTGTCATTACTGGGGGCCTCAGGAGAGGGGAGCTGCAGGAGCAGCCTCTGATGGACGGCCTTTTGTTTCGCGTTTGGATCACCAGGCAGGGATCCGCCTTTCAAACAAGGGGCCAGGGAGAAGCCCAACGTCACCTGCCATCCCGGTACCGCCCAGCAGAGGCCAGCAGAGGGCCAGGGACAGTGTCTTGGCATCCGGCACCTTTTTTCTTTTTATTTATTCATTCATTTCTTTCTTTCTGTTTTGTTAGGGGCCTCACCCGCCAGTGTTCCAGGTCCTCTCCTGGCTCGGCACTCCTGGCAGGCTCAAGGACCCTATGGGATGCCAGGGGTCCAATCGGGACGGCTACATGCAAGGGAAACACTCTCCCTGCTGTCCCAGGGCTCCAGCCCTGGGCGCCTTCCTCGAGCTCTGGGAGCCTTGCCTCAGGGCACAGGAGGCCGCCCTGATGACAGAGGAGGAAGATGAACAGATGCACGGACTCGGACCCTGTTTCTTGAGTCTGAAGGGGGCAATGCACGGGCTGGAGGGGCAGCTTTAACATAAACCAAGGGGCTCAGAAGAAAAAGAGTTAGCAAACCCCTCCCGCTGCCACCCCTACCCCCAGATGCACATGTACACACACACACACACACACACACTGACACATACGGGCACAGACACAGAAGCGCACACACAGACACACACAGAAGTGCACACACACACAGACACACACTATTCCTGTCACTGTCTTCCCGTTGTTCATAGATTTGCTCGAGGGGGCCCAGTAACGTCTCCGTTGTGACACTTGTTATTGTGTTTGGCATATCGAATGCCAAAGCTCACGGGGAGCTTGCCTGGCTTTGCCGTGCGGGCGAGATACTCTCAGTAGCTTGCCGTGCTCTCTGAGAGGGGCGTAGGAATCGAACCTGGGTCAGCCAGGTCGGCCGCGTGCAAGGCAAACACCCTACCGCTGTGCTATCGCTCCACACACTGACACACAAAAGTGCACACACACAGACACACATAGGCACACAGAAGTGCACACAAACACACACACAAATACAGAAACACAGAGAAACACACACAGACACAGAGACACACATATACACACATTCAGAAACACACAGAGACACACTAAGAAACACACAGAGACACACTCAGACACACATAGAAACACACACAGACACAGAGCTATACACAGATATATACACAGATACACACAGAAACACACACAGGGACACACACAGGGACACACACACACACACACACACACACACACACACACACACTTGCTGCCCTCCTGACTTTCCAGAACTCAAACAGATGCCTGGTTGAGGAAATACTAGGGGTACCATCAGGACACAGATCTTGCTGGGCTGGGGTAAAACCTGGGATCAAGGGTTGCAGTGGGGGGGATCCACTTTGGGGGAGCCCAGGGAGGGGGCCCGCATGGCTGGAGGGTGAAGCACACAGGGTCACAGTGAGACACTGGGTTGGGGGGATCCTTTGGGTGGGGGTAGGGATTGGCATGTGGGGATGAGATAACCCCAGTGCTGACCTAGTGCTGGCTGCCGGTGGGGGATTCTCTTGGTGCTGATCCCTGCTGCACACAGAGGGGGCGCTCTTCCCCCCTTCCTTGCAAACACACTATCATGGCACTGTGTCTGCAGGGGGACGGGCAGGGGAGGGGCCGGGTCTGGACAGGAAGTTAGCATTCCTGGCTGTCTCCCAGGGGCCAGCTGTAAAGACGGGGCTGGGCTGGTCTCATGGCAGATGGGCAAAAGCCCAGCCGACTTCCGCAGACATGGCTCAGACAGGCTTGAGAGAGGCTCCCCGGGGCAGTGGATGGACCTGACTGGCTCAGAAAGTGCTGAAGAGGGGAAGAAGGCTGGTGTGGGTGCAGCAGGCCTGAAGGAGGGGGGAGGAAGACCAAGCGTGTGGGAGGAGGAAGACCAAGGAGGGTATGGGGGGACCCGCCGTGGAGAGGGGTCTGGGGGGACCTGGAGACTGGGTCTCAGAGGCAGGGGCAAGGGAGACCCTGCTCAGAGACGAACACAGACACCCAACTCTTCCTGGGAAAAGCACACAACGCCCAGTCTGTGGCCTGCACCCCAGGCCGACGACGCTGATTCTTACAACAAAGGAAGGAGAGGGCTTTTTTTTTCCTTTTTTCCTTAAAATGATTTTTATTGCCGTAACATTGGTTTCTCCACGTGGGATAACGGTTTCAAATGGCATAGTAATTAAGACAATGGCTCCCCTATGAGATGATCCCCACCAGCACCTACTATGCGCCACCCACCGTCTCCGCAGTCAGACTGGAACTAGAATAAGGCTTTGGGCCCCTGGCTGCTCTATGGTGCTGTGTCAGGATGCGGGGGGGCCTTGCTCCCTCTGGGGGGCCGTGATGAAAGGAATCAGGAGTCGGAGCTCAGAGGAGGGTGGGAACGGGGTCCCCCAGGAGCAGGCCCAGGCCCTGCAGAGCCCAGGGTGGTTTCTGCCTTGCTGGCTTGGCCTTTGGGGGAGCGTTTGAACTGGAAGTGGGGAGAATAGGCCATGCGCTAATACGTAGCAACATTCTCTGCTGTGTAATGATGTGCCCATAGAGCTCAGCGCCCCAGAAGCGAAGGACCAAGCCTTACACAGAGCACACAGCCCAAACTGAGGGTGGAGGCTGCGGTGAGTCCCTGGGTGCCCCCACCCCTGGGCACACCGGGAAGCCTTTCATCTGGCAAACAGGGAGGCAAAAGGCACTACTGGCCTTTCTCAGTTCTAGGCCAGGGGCATCGCTAACCAGTCTGGGACACACAGGACAGACCCACCCCAGTGGCCTCCCCCAAGGGCCCACCGTGTCCCATGAGAAACTCTGGCCTTAGCCATTCCAGAAAAGGATTGGCTCTGTCGGTCCAACTTCAACAAAATCCTCAGCTCGAAACTTCTCACGTTAAAGGGACACAAAACAGAAACCTCAAAGTTGAAGAGAGCAACAGGGCTGGGAGTCCGGCAGGGAATCCCCAAAATTTCTGCACGTGAGGATGGGCGAGGCGGAACAGGCAGAATCTGGGGGCCTCTAAAGCCTCGAAGACTGCGGGGGGCATGAGCAGACTGTGGTCAGCGGCCAGCAGGCTGGGAGTGCGTGCACACGAGTGTGTGTGTGTGTGTGTGCGTGTGTGTGTGTGTGTGTGTGTGTAGATGTTCTGCAGGTCTGGCGTGTGTGCATGTGTGTGTGTGTGTGTGTGTGTACGTGTGTGTGTGTGTGTGGATGCTCTATAGACCTGGTGTGCATGCGTGCGTGTCTGTGCATGTGTGTGTATGTGTGTAGATGCTCTACAGGCCTGGCATACATTCTGCATGCATGTATTTGTGTGTGTGTGTGTTTGTGTGTGTGTGTAGATGCTCTGAAGGCCTGGCATGTGTGTAGATGCTCTGCAGGCCTGGCACGTGTGTACGTGTGTGTGTGTGTGTGTGTGTGTGCATATGTGTAGATGACTCCATATCTGCCTACAGTTAGCCGGACAAAAAGAAAAGAAAGAAAAATCACTCCGCACACCCTGGAAATCGACCTTAAATAAAGAGAAAGTGCATCCCACATTGCACCCCAGAGCTCAGCAGAGTGTCACCAGAGTCAGGCTCAAAGTCACCTGGACCGTGGAGGGGAAGTGGCCATGCCCTGGGTCAGAACAACCCACCTTGTGGTCACCTAAGCGGGGGTCCCGACCTGGGTCCTGGGGACGGAGGAGCCCTGGGCCAGTCCCCTGACCGAGAGGGAAAGAGACTCACAGCTGCGGCCCCAAAGTGGCCTTGACTTCTGGCCACTTTCCACTGGCCAGGTCAGGTCCCGGGGCTGTGCTCAGGCCATGGGGCAGGTCCCCCGGCCCGGGCACTGTGCAGACTCCGAGGGGACGCGGAGGGTCTCGGTCTTGGCTTCTTGTTTGACACAGAGAAAAGTGAGGCAGGGGGTTAGGCTGCAGCAGGTGGTCAGGGGCGACGTCTCAGCCGCGCCCGTGCTGCGGTCACTGTGGAGAGACGATGGGGACAACGTGTCCACTGGCGACTGCTGCTGTCCCGCCATGGGGGCGAGTGCCCGGATCCAGCATCTCGGGTCACTCTAAACTGGGGGTGCAGGTGCCGGAGCCATAGTCCATGGGAAGAGCGCTGGCCTCACATGGGACTGACCCAGGTTTGATCCCCGGCATTCCCTAAGGTCCCTGGGCCCTGCCAAGGGGGACCCCTGAGCACAGAGCCAGGAGTAAGCAAGCCCTGAGCACTGCTGGGTGTGGTTCTCCCCACCCCCCAAAATAAAACCTCCAATAAATAAATAAATTTCATTAACCAGACAGGGGGTCCTGGGTCCAGGATCTCCCTAGATCTGCCCCCATCAGAGTCAAGGCCGGATTCTTCCAAGTCGTGAGACTCTCCCGACGAAATGACAGTGACCCTGAGCCCCGGGCACAGAGGGGCCACTCACATCCCTACCCATGTCCCTCTCATCCATCCTCTCCTCATCTACATACCCTGCCCCCCTGAGCGCCCACCCTGCCTGCTGCCTGGGGACCCGCTGGAACCTACCAGCCTCACCCTTGGGCGCAGGCACAGGGGCACACTCGGTCCTTGCCCTCTGGGCCTTCGTCATGACCTTCAAGTCCCTGGAAGAATCGTCCACATTTGGGGGGTCATCCATCTTCGGGGCAGCTTGCAGCGGCTCTTGGGTTCCACGGCCAGGCGCGGCTGCCCCTGGGAAAGAGGGATTTTGTGACTCCTTGAAACTGGGGTCCCCGTGGCAACCACTCCCCGTCCTTGTCCTTCCTGGTGGGGATCTGTCTCGGTCCTCCCCACTCAGGACCCTCAGCATCGATCCTGTCCCCTCCATCTCTGCCTTCTGACACCCTCTCTGTGCCAGCAGCAGGGTCTGTCCTGTCCCCTGCTTCTCCCTCTGACACTCCCCTAGGGAGGACAGCAGGCCCGTCACAGAAGTGAGTCCTCCCCCCCTCCCCCCCGCCCCCGGCACTGAGGACCTGCATCTGGATCCTCAGCGCCCAGTCCTTGGATGAATGAATAAACAGGCAGGTTTACGTTTCCACTTCAAGTCTATGGTGACCGCCCGAGTGCCCTGTGACGGAATCACTGTGCTGGGGAAAGTGGAGTTGTTAGTCCAACTTGAGAAGAAGTCAGTGGGCAGCAGACAGTAACAGGAATCCTTGAAATGGACTTGTTTGAGAATAAAAGCAACGCTCTAAGATTTAGAGCTTCCTCCGGTTTAGGAAGGCCCCCGGGGTTAGGTGCTCAGAGGAAGAGACAGGGAGAGTTGCAAGGAAGGTCTGAGAACCCTCCTGGGTCTTGTTGAGAGATTCAGAGACTCTGGAAACAGAAAAACTGGGAGACAGTCTAAATGAAGCTCAGGGCCCAGAGAAAAAGCTATGGCTTGAAGCATCTCCTTGCAAGCATGGGGTCACGAGTTAAAATCCCTGGTGCCCCACATACGCCGAGCACCATCCTGGCAGCTCTGTTGTCTGCGATCCTGGTGCCCGGGTGGCTTCTAGCCCTACAGTAGCTAGATATGTACAAGCGGCCAAGCAAAAGGGGTGCATGCTCCATGGCCCGGAAATTATACCCCAGATGAGCACAGAAGGGATGGGCTAGGAGCATCACCTGTAACCCGTGTGATTCAGCTGAGTGCATCATCCCTGCAGGCACAGCTCCGGGAGCACTTCAGACATGTGTGGGAGCACCACACCCAGATGTGCGAGCCCTGGGGAGCACCTGGGCTGCAGACCAGCAGCAAACCTCAGGCAGGCATGCATGCAACGCCCCCTCACCACTACCAAGAGGAATAATTCAGGGCAGGGCTGGGCAGGGAGGGATAAACAGACACTGAACAAAGAGGTGCCTCTCTGCACCCTGCACCAAGAAAACAGACTGGCGGGGAGGACCCCCAAATAAGGACACAGCATTCAAAGAATCCCATGGGAAGGAGGAAGGGGAGGGGGCGGCAGAGTGAGAGAACAGGAAGAAAAAGATGCATGGTGGGAAGCTGAGGAGGAAGCGAGAAATGATCACACAGGGGTCAGGTTCCCGTGGTGACACGGCCCTAGGTGGGCCAGCGTGGGCTCAGTGACTCTGACCCGCTGCCCATTTGGGGTTAGGCATTTGAATCCTGCCCTCCCTCCAGGGGGATTCTGTCTGTCCTTCCTGCCTCACCCCTAGACTGTGACCGTGACTGTATATGACCATAGTTTGACACCTCTGGACCCCGTTGCCTCCCCTGGGCAGAAGGACAGGACCATGCTGGAGCCAGGCGGGCAGGTGGGTTCTGCCGGGGGCAGAGCATGCTGGTGGGGTGGCCTCGAAGGCAGGGCTGGGGGCCTGGCTCCAGTCAGTGTGTGCACCAGGTGAGGGCCAGGGTGAGCCCTGGAGAAAGGACTTTCCTCTTCCTGCTTACCTCTTCTTTTTGATCTTCTACCGGGACTCGACCAGCTCAATTTTCTTCTACTCTCTAAAACAAACAAACAAAAATCTCTATCGTGCCTGAATGTTCGTCCACAGCCTTGAGACGCCAAGTACTTCTAAATCTCTCTCCCTCTTCCCATCACTGTGGTGACATCAGAAAACCAGATTTACAAAAAGGTATTCCAGTTCACTTGGGAATAGATTAATAAGGACCTTACAGCTGTATAGATAAACATGTCTTTGTTTGTTCTTGTTTCGGGCCACATCTGACAGTGCTTGGAGCACCGGTGTGATACTGGGGGTCAAACCCTGGTTGTCTTAGGCTGGAGCGATAATACAGTGAGGAGGGCATTTCCGACCCAGGTTCGATTCCCAGCATTCCATATGGTCCCCCAAGCACCGCCAGGAGTAACTCCTGAGAGCAAAACCAGGAATTACAAAGTCAGTAACCCCTGTGCATTGCTGGGTGTGACCCAAAAAGAAAACAAACAAACAAAAAAACCAACAAAACTGGTTGTCTTGTGCAAGGCAGCTGCTCTACTATCTCTTCAGCCCTGATTTCCAATGTGCCCCTCCCTCCGATGAGCAGCTAATCTTTGCAGTATTTGAAGAAAATATGAAGATACAATGAGCCAGAGACAGGAAGGAGGACCTGAACCAGAACGTAAGAACAGGAAACAGGTAGGTGATGAACAGATTTGACTGCCTAAGCATTTTTAAGGATGGGGAGATAAAAAATAATTTTAAGAGGACTGTGGAGAAACACTGCAGGGAGCAGGGAGAACCCCAAAACCAGGTGTGGCTCAGGAAACACACACAATTCCATGCTTCACACAACCTCTTCACAACATTAGACTGGAAAGCAGGAAGTCCAATTTCCAGACATGTGTCCCCAGAGCGTTAAACCCTTCATGAATAAAACTACAGATGGGCTGGAGTGATAGCACAGTGGGTAGGGTGTGTGCCTTGCAGGCGACTGACCTGGGTTCAATCCCCAGCATCCCATATGGTCTCCCAAGCACCACCAGAAGTAATTCCTGAGTGCAGAGCCAGGAATAACCCTGGAGCATTGTTGGGTGTGACCCAAAAAGAAAAAAAATACCCTACAGATGGATAGAAAGCAAGGAAAGCTGGCAAAGACATAGCTGAAAACGCTCAATAAAATCTTCAGATGCTAAGAATCAAAGAAATACAGAGTCAGAGAGGTAGGTCGGGGGGGTGACTTTCTGCCCCCAATACCACGTGTGGCGCTCACATCCCTGAGCACTGGGCGCTGGGTGGGAAGGGTCCTGGGATCCTCTGAGTATTAATTGGGAGGTTTCCCTCACCCAATAAAAAAGGGTTTATTTTTTTAGTTTTTTTTTTGGGGGGGGCGGGGAAGGGGGCATGCTCAGAGGTGCTCAGGGCTTACTCCTGGATCTACACTCAGGAATCACTCCTGGCCATGCATGACTATATAGGATGCTGGGATCAAACCCGGTACGGCTGCATGCAATGCAAGAGCCCTCCCTGCTGTAAATTGTGGCTCCAACGCCTTTATTTTCAGTTTGAAGCACAGCTGTCACCACTGGGACTCAGGTTGTGGCTTGAGTAGCAGTGCACAGGCCCGTGTGGGACTCTGGGCTGGAGCCTGGTATGACGGACCTTCCACAGAAATGTGACCCCCAGAAGACATTAAAAAATAATAATAAGGGGCCGGAGAGATAGCACAGTGGGTGGGGCGTTTGCCTTGCACGCGGTCGACCCGGGTTCGATTCCCAGCATCCCATATGGTCCCCTGAACACTGCCAGGAGTAACTCCTGAGTGCAGAGCCAGGAGTAACCTAAGCATCGCCGGGTGTGACCCGAAAAGCAAAAAAAAAAAATAATAATAATAATAAAAGGTCTTATTCTAATTACTTTTCCTAGACAATAATAAGGTGACACAGGTAAAATTTTAGGACCCGAGGACTCTAAGTTATCTCAGACTTAGAGATTGTCAGGACACTACTGGACATGGGTGCAAAAGAAAAAATGACAAACATATTTTCTGTTTCTCTTTGAAAACTGCAAATAGTCTAACTTGGCATCCATACATGACTGAATTTGGAAAAAAATGTAATTAAAAATATGAGTCCGGCAGCCGCACACGCAAGGGGAAAAGGCAGCTCAGACAGAGAAGGGAGCACCAAATAAAGGGTGTTGGGAGGTTCCTCTCAGGATGGGAAATGCGTGATGAAAGTAGACTATAGACCGAACAAGACTGCCACTCAATGTCCCTTTCACAAACCACAGCACTCAAAAGGAGAAAGATAACAAAAGGGAATTCCCTGCCACAGAGGTAAGGTGGAATGGGGAGATGGGGGGAGGGAGGGATACTGGGACTAGTGGTGGTAGAGAGTGGGCACTGGTGGAGGGATGGGTATTCGATCATTGTATAATGAAACCTAAACACAAAAATTTGTAAGTCTACAACTATACCTCATGGTGTTTCACTAATAAAAATTTAAGGAAAAAAAAGAATAAATATTGCTTAATAGTAAAGTTTAAAAAAAATATGAGTCCAGGGCTAGAGTGGAGAGGGCATTTGCCTTGCATGTGGCCGACGCTGGTTTGATTCCCAGCATCCCATATGGTCCCCCGAGCACCGCCAGGAGTAATTCCTGAGTACAGAGCCAAGGAGTGATCCCTGAGCATTGCCGGGTGTGACTCAAAAAACAAAAAAAAATTAAAATTAAACAAATAAAAATATGAGTCCATTGTGTCTGAAAAGATAAGAGTGATGTGGAGTTATTCTGCTTTTAAAATTTTTTAATCATCTGTGAAAAAATAAAAATGTAATTTTAATAAGTTAAATTAAAATTTATTAACTTTAGTAAGTTACTGGTTGGGTCATAGCATGTAGTGCTCAGGGCTTACCCCTCACTCTCTGCCCAGAACCCTCTTACTGGGACTCTGGGACCATGTGGGATGCTGGGGATTGAAATCATGTTGGCAATCACATGAAAGGCAAACACCCTCTCCACTATCTCTCCAGACCCTTACGTGGAGTTTTATCAGAACAGATCATTACAAGCCTACATGTAATAATATGTATCACACACAAACATGATCTATATTATGTACAATGGGGCAACAAGTGCCATTTGGAACGCATATGATATATATATATATAGACATAGATCATGCAAATAGAAATTACCCAGGCATTTATAAATGATTTATATTATAAAATATAAAAGAGTTATTGCAATACATTATATATTATTGATATATGTACATAGACATATGGACACATGGACCTGGAACAGAGATCTTCTGCCTGCTTCCCCCAGTCTCTGGTGACTCAGGGATCACATTCATAAGCCACACCCTGTCGTCACCAGATAATCTCCTCATCAGCCACCCTCCAGAACTCACAGATGGGAGTATAAAAGAAGGCACCCAGAACCATGCCACTGGACTGCGCGCCAGGCTGTGGGGCAGGTGAGAGCCCTCCCCACCCCAAGGAACCCAGCTCCAGCAGCTGACCTCCACTGCATGGACCTGCATCTGGACCCATGGCGCCTAGTCCTCGGATGAGTGAATAAACAGGCAGGTTCATGTTTTTTCCCAGTTGGAGCCGACCTCCAACCACTGCCACACTCCAGGCTGCTTTCTGGACTGCACCGGCCGTGTGACACATTATAAGACATTTCCTACCCATTTATGCCTCTCCGATAGCCTGGCAAACTACTGAGAATATCCTGCCTGCACGGACAGAGCCTGGCAAGCTCCCCATGGCATATTCGATATGCCAAATATAGTAACGACAATAGGTCTCATTCCCCTGACCCTGAAAGAGCCTCCAATTGTTGGGAAAAGACGAGTAAGAAGAGGCTGCTAAAATCTCAGGGCTAGGAGAACAGATGACTGGTTAAAGAAACTTTGGTACATCTACACAATGGAGTACTATGTAGCTGTTAGAAAAGATGAAATCATGAAATTTACATACAAGTGGCACTACATGGAAAGTATCATGCTAAGCAAAATGAGTCAGAAAGAGAGGGATAGACAGAAAGATTGCATTCATCTGGGGAACATAAAGTCACAAAATAGAAGACTAACACCCGAGAGTGGCCGAGATTAGTACCAGGAGTTTTGCTCCATGGCTTGGAGGCCAGCCATACACTCTAGGGGAAAAGGGAGCTCAGATAGAGAAGGGAGCACCAAATAAAGGGTGTTGGGAGGATCCTCCCAGGATGGGGAGAAATATGCTGAAAGTAGACTACAGACGGAACTCGATTGCCACTCAATGCCTCTTTTGCAAACCACAACACCCAAAAGGAGAGAGAACAAAAGGGAATATTCTGCCACAGAGGTAGGGTGGAACAGGGGGATGAGGGGGTGGGAGCGATACTGGGACCTGTGGTGGTGGAAAATGGGCACTGGTGAAGGGATGGGTACTTGATCATTGTATAACTGAAACCCAAGCACAAAAATTTGTAAATCTACAACTGTACCTCATGGTGTTTCACTAACAAAAATTTTTTAAAAAATGTAAATGATGAAGAATGGGCACTGGTGGAGGGATGGGTACTGGATCATTGTATAACTGAAACCCAAGCACAAAAATTTGTAAGTCTACCACTGTACCTCATGGTGCTTCATTAATAAAAATTTTAAAAGAATATATAAAATCTCAGGGCTGGGGAGAATAGAGATGTTACTGGTGCCCGCTCGAGTAAATCGAAGCTCAATGGGATGACAGTGATACAGTTATGTACATAGGCCCCACCCAAGAAAGGGATATGAGGAGCCTGGGCACTGAGATTTAAGGGAAAAACTTAATCTTAGACTTACGTCTGTCTGTGTACCAAGCACATGTATGTATGTATGTATGTATGTATATACATGCATGCATAGAGCGCATGAGAGATGTGTATTTATGATACTCAGACATCAGAGGAGAATCTTTTGTGATTAAAAATGAGATATTAAAGGGATCTCTAGGGAGTGATCATTTTACCTTTTTTTTTAAATTGTTGTTGATTTGGGGCCACTCTTGGTTCTGAGCTCAGGCCCTGGGGCTCAAACCCAGCTGTCCAGTGTGCAAAGCCTGTGCTCAGTGGGCTGGACTCTCTCTCCACCCCAGGGAAGTTTAGAAGCTTAGAAGGTTGAGGATGAGTCTGAGGTCAGTGTGGGCTCCCAGGGCCCCTGGACCCCCTCCTTACCTGGCCTGGGCCTCGGGGGTGTCCCGGATGGCTTCTGGGCTCCAGTTCCTTGGTTTGTTTCTGAGGCGTGACCACTGACCTCTGCAGAGAGATGATACCTGCTTCACCCCTCAGGAAAGGAATCTCCTGGGGACCCTGGCAGGAACCCCCAACCCTCCACATTTCGCCGCAGAGCTGAGCACGTGTTTCCTGCTGGTTGCCCCCGGGGCTGGCCAGAGGACCAGCAAGGGGGACAGCCCCGGGGAACCACGAGATCCCATCAAGAGCACTGTGACATCAGAGCTGGCCGCATCTGTCCTTCCCCTGTCGTCTGGGCTCAGCGCCATCCGAGCACAGACCCACTGAGTCTCGCGAGATCAGGTCAGAGTCCCCATCCCCGGGTCAGGACCACCCTGTCTCTGGTGCTCCTCACGGAGCTGCTCAACAAGCCTCTCCGTGAGCCAGTAAAAATGTCCATTTTAATAAATTCATAACCTTGAGTGTTTTTTTTTTAGTTTTCATTTTTTTTCTTGGGGGTCACACTCGGTGATGCTCAGGGGCTACTCCTGGCTCTGCCCTCAGAAACTGATCCTAGCAGTGCTCGGGGGACCATTTGGGATGCTGGGATTGAACCTGGGGTGCTCCATGCAAGGCAAACGGCCCTACCCGCTGTACTATCACTCTGGCCCCAAATCATTGAATGTTTGAACTGCAAGCTGGCAACATCATTTCATCAATCAGTGTTCTCCAGATGCATATTACAAAATCTGCTTGAGCAGAGGTTCAATTCAAAGGGCAAGATAGCATGGTAGGTTTGGGTTCAGAAATGGGAGAAGTTCACTGATATGGTTTTAGGAGTCTTCCTAGCTTTTAAGAAATGACCTTTTGTGGAGTTTGGCGCACTTTTAAAGATGAATATCATCAGGTCCTAAAGACTGTGGGAGACTACCCAACTTCCACTAGAGATATGTGTGAGGCCAGATTTTCTGTGTACTTCAACCCAAAGTATACAAGGCACATGATTTAATGCAGACGCTGGTATAACAATACGTGGTATTTGAATAAACTAGACAGGAAAAAATTTGCAAAAAATGTATGATCATTGTGCTCCTGCAAAGGGTTTTTATTTTTGTTTTGTTTGCTGGGGGGAGAGGGAGGAGGGCTCACTCAGCAATGTTCAGGGTTTACTCCTGGCTCTGTGTTCAGGGATCACTCCAGGCGGTGCTTAGGAGACCATCTGGGTGGGTGGGGATTGAACCAGGGTCGGCCACGTGCAGGTAAGCTCCTTATCCACCGTGCTATATCTCGGGCTGTCAATCAGCCAAATTACTATTTATCCCAGAGGCAGAACCAACATGAAAGAACCTACAGTTGACTTTCATTGTCAAGTTTGCTATTTTTCCCTCTAATCCACAATTGAAGGTCTTAGAGCAAATGAACAACTTCACATAAAAATGAAAATTTTCGCTTTAAAAAAAATGCACCTTTTCAGTATGACTAAGTTCATGTATGGTTCCACCTCCCCCTCTCTGTCAACACCACCCCCCCCACCCCAAGTAAACTTTGCATTTCTTTGCACATGTTTTCATTGGGAAAATATATTTCTCAATGAAATGCTAACAGGCAATTGGCTTATTATTATCACCTGTAAAGCGATTAATATGTAAGTAACTCAGCTCTCCAGTAACCCCACCAGCCTCACCCTTGGGTGCGGGTGCTCCCGCACAGTTGATTCTCGCCCTCTGGGCCCTCGTCATGATCTTCAAGTCCCCCAGAGTGTCCTCCATCTTTGGGGTGTCATCCGTCTTTGGGGTGTCATCCATCTTTGGGGTGTCATTCATCTTTGCGGTGTCATCCATATTTGGGGTGTCATCCATCTCTGGGGTGTCGTCCATCTCTGGGGCGGTCTGCCCCTCTGCCTGGGACTGCTCTTGGATTCCGTGGCCAGGCGCAGCTGCCCCTGGTTAAAAAAACAATTTTTAAATAGACTTGGGGGTTGGGGGGGTAGATGAGTAGCTTTAATGGGGGACCCCAGTGGTCTTTCCTCTCTATTAGTCTCTTTTGGGTCCCCTGTGTAAGGTGTTTCCTGGGGCTCGCCTTGCTCCTGTTACTAACGACAGATTCCTTTGGGTGTGTCCCTCCTTTTTTCTCCTCCAAACTCACCAAAACAGCCATGCTTTCTGTATCACTTGTTGAAATCAACCAGAGAAACTTGGGGGAACCCCAGTGCAGGGGGTGGGGGGCTCTCTGGGTGGCCAAATGGGGCAGCTCTCAGCAGAGCAGACTTCCTACAAAGTGGCTCTCCAGTTCCTCATGAGCCCCCCACTTGCGTGGGGTGCAGGAGAAACTCAAGGAGCTCTAGACGGAAGGTACTAAACTGAGAAGCCATAGCCCTGTGGGGCTGGTAAAGGGGCTTGGGGGCTGCTTTGCTGTGCAGGAGAGGGGCCCCCCTTCAACTGCCACCTGAGCCCATTGGGATGAAGGTGATAGCTAGGAGCAAGCTCCTCTCCAGCCAAGCCAGGGGAGACGTCCACAGCACAGCCCTGCTCCTTGGCTGCCAGGGGATGGAGAGCTGCCAGTTACCTCCAGGGGCCTCTTCCGGAGGAAGTGGGCGGGGCTAGGAGCACTGGTTTCTAATCAGAAAGGAGAGTCAATCAATCGAGTTCTTACTGATCCAAGAGACAGAAGCAACACAAAAAAACCTAAAGTTGACTTTCACTGTCAAATTTACTATTGTTTTTCTCTAATTCTCCTCGAATTAGATCTTAGAGCAAATGAGCAACTTCACATAAAAATTAAAAGTTCCACTCTAGAAAAATGCACATTTTCAGTGTGACCAAGTCCATGTATGGTTCCTCCTGCCCTCCCAATCCCCCAGTAAACTTTGCATTTCTTTTCTTTTTAGGTGTTTTAATATTAAAATAAGGATAATGGAGTTGTAAAGTAGTATAATTCTTTTAACATTTTTTTAATTTTAATTTTTATTCTTGTTTGTGGGTTGGAGGTCACACCCAAGTGGACAGGGCTTACTCCTGGCTTTGTGCTCAAGGATTAGTCTCAGATGAGCCCAATGGAACTGTATGTGGTTTCAGGAGTTGAACCAGGGTTAGGGGCATGCAAGGTAATGACTACATCTGTCAGTGTTAGGGCTTACTCCTTGTTCTGCACTAGGGATCACTCCTGGAGAGGCCCCAGGGACCATCCTACAGGGTATGAGGGATCAAACCTAGGCCAGCTGCATGTGAGGCAACATCCGCCTTATCCGATTACAGTTGCTCTAGCCCAAGTAAGACAGTAGCTTTCACCCCTGCACTATCTCCCCAACCCTGTTTGTGTTTATTTGGGGGCCACACCCCAGTGCTTAGCAGCTACTCCGAGCTCAGAGCTCAGGGGTTGCTCCTGTGGGTGCTGGTGTGAACATGGAGTGTAGGAAATGAACCTTCTGTGTGGGCAAAGCATGTACTCCGAAGAGCTATAAGCGTTGTCAACAAAAGTATTTCTGTAAAAGTTTTCATGTGAATGAATAGGAGTTAAGACCCAGGCCTTGCAGATGGCTGACCCAGTTTGATCCCTAGCATCACACAGTCCCCGGTATGTCACCAGGTGTGACCTTATAGGCCTCTGACTATCCACGGATGTGATGGAGCAGTGCAAAAATACCTCAGCCCTTGGCTGTTTTCAAAATATTCACGCATATGTGCCCATGGCGCGGGGTGGGGGGTATCTCAGCCCTTCACAGCCCCCTGCCTAGATGTCTAGCACAGATCTTGAGAAGGATAGGCCACACACTGAACCCTAAAATCCCCCCACCCCAATACACTCACACCCTCTCTCGGCAATCCTCAACCAATCATTCATGCAGCCATTCAAAGCCAGAAAGGGGGGCACTGGCTTTGACATCCCGCATACCCCATGCACCTCAAGTTGCCAATGGCTTCCATCCTCTCACCTCCACCTCCGACTCATCCTGGACAGGCCTCTTCCCCCTATGTCCACGGCCAGGTCTGAATCCAGGCCACGCCAACTCTCAGGGCCTCGCCCTACCTGCTCCTTCCTGTCTCTCACGTTTCCCAATTCATCATGACACAGAACCAGATTCGATCCGGTTTGAAGATGCATCATGGCCCTTCACCCTCCCCCTTCCATTTAGAATAGAAGGGAACTGCCCACACCTTGATGGACAGGAGTGAGCTGTCCCCAAACCTTGATGGACAGGAGCGAGCTGTCCCATCTCCGGCTCTCCTCCCATGCTCTCATCTTACCTTTTGGGGGTCTCTTTTTATGGGGTCTCTTCTTTGGAGTGGACCAGACACTTCTTTTTCTTTTCTTTGCTAAAAACAAAAAAGAGAGAGAGAGAATTTGTGTTGTTTTGGTTTGGTTTGGGTCACACGCAGCAGTGCTCAGGGACTATTCTGGGTTCTGTGCTTAAGAGTGACCCCTGAGGGTGCCCAGGGGACCCTAAGCAGGGTCAGGAATTTGAACCAGGGTCAGCCTCATGCAACACAAATGCCTGAAAGTATCATTTGGGCCCCAGATACTTTTTTTCTCCCCTAATATATAGCTATAAAAATGCATCTGCTAACCTAATGGTGACAATTTTCTGCTCTTACTTTTGGTCTGCAAACCCACACTGACTAGAAGGTCACTTTCACTGATGCGCCTCATGGAGTAACAAGGAAGTAAGAAACTCTTAAGTGGCCAAGGAGGTGAGCCCTGGAGGCATTGGAGTTAAGTAACTCATCTCTGAGAGTTTGGCTCGGAAATGAACCCCGGCAGGAGAAGAAGTATATGAAGATCAAGAGCGAGCTCCTTTTATGAACAGAACCAGGTTTGAACATTGGCTGAATAGGGGTGAAAGTGAGAGGGAGAATCCTCAGGAAAGAAGGGGGGTTGGAGAGCAGGGACGGGCTGCCCCGGAGGGAAGAGGCAGAAGCAATCCAAGTTTGCAGCAGGAAGCGAGCTCATTCCCACCTGACGAGCTGCAGCTTGGAAAGAACTGTTGCTGTTATTCGATGTCTGTCCCTGTCCTTCTGCCTCGTTTCATCCAGGGCTCAAAGTAGATAAAGGAACAAACAGGACAACCTTTCAGTACTTGTGTTGCAAACCACAATGCCCAAAAGGAGAGAGCATGCGAGCAAGAAAGAAGAAAAGTGTCTGTCATAGAGGCAGGCTACGGGGGGTGGAAAGAAGGAAACTGGGGAGACTGGTGGTGGGAAATATACCCTGATGAAGGGTCCCAGTATTGGAACATTGTATGACTGAAACTCAATAATGAACAATTTTATAACAGTGCATCTCACAGTGATTCAATAAAAATATACAAATAAATAAATAAATGGGAAAACAATATAGGACTAAGTTCATAATCAAATTAATTTCTGAACATGAAGCTAAGAGGGAGAGATCAGAGGTTGAACAATAGCTTTCTTCCACAGAAATCAACTTGAATTAGGTGTTAACTGCACCTGTATTTTCATTGCAGCATTGTTCACAATAGCCAGAATCTGGAAACAACCCGAGTGCCCAAGAACAGACGACTGGTTAAAGAAACTCTGGTACATCTACACAATGGAATACTATGCAGCTGTTAGGAGAGATGAAGTTATGAAATTTGCTTATAAGTGGATGGATATGGAGAGTACCATGCTAAGTGAAATGAGTCAGAAAGAGAGGGACATAGAATGACTACACTCATTTGTGGAATATAAAATATCATAATATGATACTAACACCCAAGGACAGTAAAGACAAAGGCCAGGAAGATTGCTCCATGGTAGGAAGACTGCCTCATGAGCTGGGGGAGAAGGGATCACTAAGTCCATGATGGTTGGAGGGATCGCTCGGGATGGGAGATGATGGCCTTTCAGTACCTGTATTGCAAACCATAATGCCCAAAAGTAGACAGAGAGAGAGTATGGGGGAAATTGTCTGCCATAGAGGCGGGGGAAGGTTGGGATGAGGGGGAGAGATACTGGGCACATTGGTGATGGAAAATGTGCACTGGTGGAAGGATGGGTGTCAGAACATTGCGTGACTGAAACTCAAACATGAAAGCTTTGTAACTGTATCCCAGAGTGATTCAATTTAAAAAAAAAAAAGGAGTTAGGTGTTAAGAAAAGTAAGTATGGAATTAATTCCTGGGAAGCTGAGTGAGTTCTGAAGTGATAGGTCCTGTGCATTGCCATGGAGTAAAGGGAAGCCACGCATGGGTGGAGGAAGGACCCGGAGATGGCTCCGGGGCCGAGCACAAGCTCAGCGGGTGGAACAGCCTGGATTTGAGCTCCGGCTCTGCAAATAAGCAAAAAGCATGGTCGTCCGCAGACTCAGTGGATGCGAGAGCCACTGGGAATGAGCAGGACAAGGATCTGGGAGGTCGTCGTGCTGGGTGAGCCTGCTGTCCCGAGGTACCTTGCAGGTTTTCAAGGAGATACAGGACTTGAACGAACAAACAAGCACTGACTCAGCTTTGAGATACTCTGGGGAGCAGGAAGTCCGTGAGCTTCCCGAAAGAGAGGAAGTGGGTGCATCATGGGACCGTTGTCTCAAAGGAAGGGAGGCGGGCGGGTGAGTGGTAGCAAGGGGTGTCCCTTGGCCTGTCTCCCAGCAGGAGGTGGGCGAGGCCAGTGCAGAGACCTCTGAGGAAGCCGGGCACCCCCTGAGGAGCACCCAGCACAGCCAAAGCAGGAGGTGGTGTAGCTGATGCTCCAGGCTGTAGACGGGGAGGCTGTGACTGTTCAGAAAACACATCGGAGGGGGAGGGGGTGCGTGGTTCAACAGCCCTTCTGGTCTCCCTATCATTTTTTGTGGAAGCAGTGGGTGTCACAGAAACAAACCAGGAGGACCCGGGGACTAAGCACATGGCGGGACTCGGTGAGGAGCAGACCCACCTGCACCCCACCAGGGTTGGGGCCACCCGCCTATACCTTTCCTGGGGGTGCTGGGAGGCGTCCTGGGGGACTGCTGTGGCTCTTCAAGGTCATTCTGTTCAGGGGCCTCCTGCAGCTCTTCAAGGTCATTCGAAGGTTCAGGGGCCTCCTGCGGCTCTTCAAGGTCATTCAGTTCAGGGGTCTCCTGCGGCTCTTCAAGGTCATTCGGTTCAGGGGTCTCTTGTCGCTCTTCGAGGTCATTCGGTTCCGGGGGATCATCTGGGAAAAGAAGCAGAATTCACCTCGGAGCTCAGAAGAGGCAGAAAAGAAGATTTCGGGGCCTCAGGGCGAGAGCAGTTGTCCGGGCAGCACAGACTACGTGAGGGGGTTCAAGTGATCCATGAGAATCTCAGAACTGGGGCTGCTTTTAAGCCCTCTAGCCTGTTTCCCCGTCCTCGGTGGAAGGAAAGACGGGGCGTAGCTGTCCCTCGGGGAGGAGGCTGGCAGCAGGGGTAAGCGGAGGCTGGAATTCTTTGCGCAAAGGCCTTTGCATTTCTTGTTGTTTTGAGGTCTTTCTTTCTTTTTTTGCTTGAGGGAAGCCACACCTGGAGGTGCTCAGGGCTTCCTCCAGGGGTCACTCCTGGTGGGCTTAGGGGAGCCCTCCGGGGTTCTGGGAATTGAACCCAGGCTGGCCGCGTGCAAGGCAAACACCCTATCTGCTGCATACCATATCTCCTTGCCTCCCCCGCCCCCACCCCATCTTTGCTATTTATTTGGAACAGATGCGGGAATTCTGCTCCAGGAGACCCCTCTCAAAGTCTCGAAGCCCCCTGCCCCAGCCTTCTCCCTTCCTTTCTCTTCTCTTCAAGAAAATCTTTTTTTCTTTGTTTCTTTATTTTATTTTTAAAATTTTTTTTATTTTTTAATTTTTATTAGTGAAACACCATGAGGTACAGTTGTAGACTTACAAATTTTTGTGCTTGGGTTTGTTTCTTTATTTTATTTTTGCTTTTTGGGTCACGCCCGGCGATGCTCAGGGGTTACTCCTGGCTCTGCACTCAGGAATTACTCCTGGCAGTGCTCAGGGAACCATATGGGATGTTGGGATTTGAACCTGGGTTGGCCGCGTGCAAGGCAAACACCCTACCCGCTGTGCTATCACTCCAGCCCCCTGTTTTCTTTATTTTAAACGAGGGTTTATTAAAGGGGGGAATGGTGGGGAGGTTCCACCCAGCAATGAGGCATCAAGGAATGAGACATGACCATACATTTGTTTATTTGGTTTTGGGGTCACATCTGGCGATGCTCAGGGGTTAGTCCTTGCTCTGCATTCAGGAATTACTCCTGGTGGTGCTCAGGGGACCATATGGGATCCTGGGGATCGAATCAAGGTCGGACACCTTGTGCAAGGCAATCGCCCTACCACTGGACTATCACTCTGACCTCGTCAATAAAATCTTATCTGAATTCAGCCATTCTCTCTCCTGACCTTGCTTTCAGGTTTCACTGCTGGTGGACAAGAAGCTGAGAGCCTGCCCCAGCTGTAACAGCTGGACGCCAGGGGAGGAGGGGCTCCACAGCTGGGGCAAAGGTCAAAAGGGACACTAAGAACATCAAGGGGGCTGGAGAGATTGCACAGTGGGGAGGGCATTTGCCCTGCATGCGGCTGACCCAGGTTCGATTCCCAGCATCCCGATTCCCTGAGCACCGCCAGGAGTAATTCCTGAGAGCATGAAGCAGGAGTAACCCCTGAGCATCCTTGGATGTAACCCAAAATGGAAAAAAAATAGAACATCAAGGACGACCATCCACAGCCTGAAGCTCTCCCCTTTGATAACCATCATAGCAACAGATTTTGGGAGCAATTTAGGAAAACTCTATATAAACTACCTTGGCAAAGGCAAAAGAAGGGAAACAACCTGTCTTCCTACTTGTGACGTGGATTTCTTAGCTTCTGGCACATCTGAGGTAGATACTTTCTTTATTGCATGGATTCTGCATTGTGGGGATTTACTTCCTCTCTTCTTGGGGTAAGTATTTGTTTTGTCCACCCTGGAGCAACCCATGTTCTCTCTGAACACATACTATACTCTCCTTCTCTCCCCTCACATTTCTCTAAGCAATTTCCCCGAATAAACTTTATTTTCCTTCACACAAAACAAACCAAACCAAGAAGAAATACACACTTAGTGACTTAGAAGTCTGGGTAGCTTTTAAGCGGCTCCATTAGGGATTATTTCCTCTGGAGAAAAAGGAAAGAAAGGAAGTCTTGACGAAGTTCACACTCGCGGACAAGACATCAACCCAGCGTTCCTAGTTCTTCCCAGTTCTCTCTTCTATGAAAGGCAGAAGGCCTTGAGGCCACAACTAGGAAGTCTGCCAGGACAAACTGTCCTGTCACTTGTCGCTCGCAGAGCAAGACGGCCCTCCCGCTCCAGGAAAGGAAGCTTGGCAAGGGGCCACTTGCCTGTGAAGTCATTTGATGCATTTCAAATCCTTTCAAGAATATCCACTCAAAAACGCTCTTGTGACATACAAGTGACAAGGATTACAAGTCCAAGCTGCCGCACAGCTGGGGGAAGACCAAGAAGGTGAAGGCAACCGTGCCCAATGGTGCCCAGCTGTGCCCACCCATGTGGGACTTGCTTGCCTCCCCTCTGAATGGTGTTGCGCTGAGCCTGAACTGACAGACCCAGCAAGAGAGAGGACGCCATCCCTCTCTGATTCCTGTCAGGTCCCTTTCTCTGCGGTGCCCAGCACCGCCTCAGGGCGGGTTAAATGGTCGGTCTCCATCTTCAGAGCCTTTGGGGTGTCCAGCCTCGGGGTTTAGCGGGCACTAGCTCAGCTCCTACCCTTCACCACCCCTGCACCTTCCAGCCCCGCCCCTTCCTGTGTCCGGGTCTCTTTCTCTCTCTGCCCAGCAGTTCTGGCCTTTCCTAGTCCCAGAGGCTGGGCAAGCAGCCTGCTGTATGCCACGATGGTGGTGGGGGCAAGAGACCCTCCCTCTGTGATATAGGCAGGCAGATAGGGAAGCACTCCTCTCCTTGCCCTCAGGCAATGGCAATAAATTTCCTGGGAAGGCTGGAGCGATAGCACAGCAGGTAGGGCGTTTGCCTAGCATGCAGCTGACATGGCCAACCCCAGATCGATTCCTCCGCCCCTCTCGGAGCGCCTGGCAAGCTACCGAGAACATCTTGCCTGCCCGATAATGCCTGGCAAGCTACCAGTGACGTATTCGATATGCCAAGCACAATAACAAGTCTCACAATGTTACTGGGCCCACTTGAGCAAATCGATGAACAACGGGAGGACAGTGACAATGACAGTGACAGAATAGCTCTGAAGTTGCCAAGGCCAACCTTGCAGAAAAAGAGGAACTAAGGCCTGATAAGACCCTCACCTGTTCACAGCAACAGACCCAGACAAGTTCCTGAAGAAACAAAAGGCCAGGAACTTCAAAGAAGACCATCACCACTCCCAACTCCCCTGGTAACCTCCTTAGCAAAGGACTTTTACCTCGGTAGAAGCCCCACATCGGGGCAGGTTGGAGAAACCCTATGAAGGCCACTTTGACCAAAGGAAGCGCACGTATGTGCTGCCTCAGCCAATATGCTGCTTGCTACACACGTGTCACCCGCATCTCCCCTCTTGAGATGTGTACTTTCACGCTTTCCTGTCTAATGCTGGGATGTGTGTAGGGCTCTCTCTGCCCTTGGAGAAACCTGGGTTCTCTCTCTCTCTCTTTTTTTTTTTTTTTTTTTTGGGTCACATCCGGCAATGCACAAGGGTTACTCCTGGCTCTGCACTCAGGAGTTACTCCTGGCGGTGCTCAAGGGACCACATAGGATGCTGGAATTGAACCCGGGTTGGCCTCGGGCAAGGCAAACGCCCTACCCGCTGTGCTATCTCTCCAGCCCTTTTTTTCCCCCGGGTTCTCTCTTGAGTGTGTTCCTCTCCACTCTCTCTCACTTTCTCTTCCTCCTTCCCTTCAAAACCTCCAAATAAAATCTGTTTCACTTCACTGCTTGTCTACTCCTGAAATTCTTTTCTGCGAGGCAAGACAAGAACCCAGTAAGCCTGGTCCCACCCAGGTGGCAGAGGCAAATCAGGAGACAGTGACCATCTTTCTCCTCCCTGCTTCACATGAGCCACCTGTGGGGCCCCACCGACATCACCTGGACTGACCCAAGAGCCTCTACCAAGACCCACGTGAAGAGCTCGGGACAGGATTACCTGGCACCGGGCCTGGGACTGCACTGGGCATCTCCTGAACATCTTCTTCCACTTCTATCAGGGAGATCACGGTGACGGGCACTGGGCAGAGGAAGAAAAGAGAGATGAAGAGATTTCAGATTCCACTACCCACAAGAAGAGGAGCAAGGGCGATAAAAATGATGAGGTGATGGGGCTGGAGTGATAGCACAGTGGGCAGGATGTTCACCTTGCACGCAGTTGACCCGGGTTCGATTCCCAGCATCCCATATGGTCCCCTGAGCACCTCTAGGAGTAATTCCTGAGTGCATGAGCCAGGAGCAACCCCTGTGCATCGCCGGGTGTGACCCCAAAAGAAAAAAAATGATGAGGCAAACAGACACCCCCGCCCCCACTAGCCCAGCATGGTGGGGGCCGGGGTGGGGCAGAATGAGGCATGGGGGGGCCTGGGAGCATGACGGGGGGGCGTGGGTTTGGGGATAGGAAGTGGGGGCTGGGAGTACTAATCTGACAATGGTGCTAAACTTCCTCTTTTTGGTTTCGGTTTGGGGGCCACGCCCAGCTGTGCTCAGGGCTTAGTTCTGGCTCTGTGCTCAGGGCTCACTCCTGGTGGGGCTCAGGGGGGATCCTTGGAGGTGCAGGGAATCAACCCAGATCGGCCGAGTGAAGGGAAGAGCCTTCCCCCTTCCTATCAGGGAAGTTGTATTCTCTCAACTTCCTCTTCTGAAAATCTGAAAGACACCTGCCTTGCCCAGAGCATCCTGATTGTGGCAACTGAACTTGGATGTGGAGGAAGCGTTATTTGGACCAAAAGAGGGCCTCGTCTCGGTTCTTGGAGTGCAACATCCATCGGACCATTTTCTTTGGCCGTGACCAATCATGCATCTCGGATTTAGCTTCTTTCTGATGATGGTTAGGGAAATATGTGACATCAGGTTTTCTCAGTCAGGTCTAGCAGACCTTTACACATTTAACTAGCCTACCCAAGAATTTCTTCTTTTTTTAAATTTATGGTGTGTGGGATAACATTGGTTGGTCCTTTCTCCCTTGCTATAGGGAGCTTAGGTTTATTGGGTTACACTCATCACAGTGTTCCCGAGGTCCTCCCATTCCTCAGTGTTTATCTTTGACTTCTCCTCTGTGTTCTGCCGCCCCTATCTGTTAATCACCTATATCCTCCAAATCAGACCCTGTGACTTGTAAGGTCAGATCCTTCTAAGCACTCCAGATTTTTTCATTTGTAAGTGAAATATTGCTATTCTCTTTCCTTTATATCCTTTGCATAATTTACTTTAGAACAATGTCCTTTTTGAGTAGACACAAGAAGACAGCTAATGTCATGCTTTTGTAACTTGGAAGCTCATTGACTTCAAAATAGTATTTATTCCTGGGCATCCATTATCTTTAGTTGACTTAAGCCTCAGTTGCCCTGAGTTCCTACACTCCATAAGGAGAGTCCTGACGAAGGAACTGGATGGACCCAGGGCAACTTATAAGCTACCCTGGCATTGAAAAGTGACAGGCTAAGCGGCATAAAACTTATAATAAGTTAAGAGCACAGTCGTGGACAAATTCTGTCATGACCCAAAGAGAAGTGACTGGACAAGGACCTTGCTAGGGTTAGGAAGGACTAATCTGGCCTGAGGACTGTAGTGTGGGATCTATAGTGAGATGTTCCCAGGAGAGCCACCCCATAAGCTTAATGTATCTCTTACTGCGTCCATACAAATTTAGGATGACTGTTCAAATATTTATGGACAAAGGAAAGGAAAATACTCCCTTTGATGAAATTCCACTCTCGAGCGGATCTCCTAGCTAGAGATCTTAGTCTTAGAAGAGTTTTCCCGGAAGGAAGGGCTTTCATATGTTGGGTGTAGCTCCTACCCCTACTCTTGGAGATTGGGCTCTTGACTAAGGCAGTGAGACTGGGCGAGCATTGGACTAGCATCAGGGACAGGAGGAGACAGGAATGACGGGCAGTGCGAGATTGGAATAGGCATGTGGGGAGAATGGAATGAATAAACAGCGGGATGGAGATTGGAATAAAAGGCAACTGATCACCAACAGCTTGGGGGTCTGCTCCATCCTTCATGCCGTCTGTTGGCCACAGCTGCAGGCCAGGGTGAGGATGTGGCTCATGGCCACCAAACGCACTTGGCAAGAAAGCACCGCACTCACATAATATTGACCACACAATGGTGATGTATGTTTTTGTTCAGTATTAAAGATCTCAGAGCACTGTATCATTTTACTGTCTTTTCTTTGCTGGGAGGCACACCCAGTGGTACTCAGGGGTGACTCCCGGTTCTGCACTCAGGAATTTATTCCTGGTGGTGCTGGGGATCAAACCTGGGTCTGCCACATGCAAGACAAGTGCCCTACCCACTGTACCACCCTTCCAACCGCACGTTGCATTATTTTACTATCCCTAAAGAAATTAATATTATAGAAGCTGTACAAACAGTTTCCTAGATAAGAGGAGAAAGGAAGGCTTCAAGGGCATATTACAATGCTACTGAAACATACATCACAAAAACCCCAAGAGAAAGTGGGGAAATCATAATTACGCATCAATAAACATATGGCTCTAAAATTAATTCCCGCCCCATGTTTTAAAGTGGAGGCACCATTGTAGACAGTGGTGTTAATGACTGTGTTTCTTCATACTGGGTTCCAACACGGCACCTACCTTTAGGGTATCCATTGCTCCCCAACCCCACTATCTCAAAGACTCCCTGCCCCCACAGTTTTAATAAGCTCAGTTCTGAATTTCCACGGAGCCGGAACAATAATACAGTGGGTAGGATGTTTGCCTTGCATGCGACCGACCTGGGTTCTATCCCTGGCATCCAATATGGCCCCCCAAGCACCACCAGGAGTAATTCCTGAGTGCAGAGCCAGGAGGAACCCCTGTGCATCGCTGGATGTGACCCAAAAAGCAAAAAAAAAAAAAAGAATTTCCATGAACATAGTTTGAAATGGAAGGTCCCCCAGTGAGGGCCAAGTCCTCCAGTAAGCGGCATCAACATGTGTGGTGAAGTCAGGCGGGATGAAGACGTGTGCGCGGAAGTCCGAGAACAGCATGTGGGTATATGTAATAAGCCAGACAGCAGCGCACTGATGTGTGTGACACAGTCAAACAACAGTGTGCGGCCGTGGGCAGTGAAGTCACACACACAAGTGCCCTGTCTGGCGAGGTCTTTGGATGTCACTGCACACACAGGACAAGCAGAACCATGCGGGTCTGTCTCCGTCCCTACTCCCTGCTTCCCTCTTTCTCTGCCACTGTCCTCCTAATGTAAGTCCTGGTCTCCCTGGCACTCCCTTCCCAGTGACCTCCGAGAAACTCACCCTGCGCAGTGCCCGGGCAGGCTTTCCGCACCTCCTGTGAGCTGGCATCATTGACTGGGGTGGCTGAATTGTTCAAAAGAAGGAAAAGCATTACAGGTTTGGGCTGCCAACCCAGAGAGAGGGAAGGGCAGAACCTGCAAAGCCCCGGGGTCCAGGGTGGAGGGTAGGGGCTGGCAGGGATGGACAGCAGGAGCACCCCTGGCCGGCCTCCTCCTCTAGGGAAGGGCATGAGTGGTGCTACTCAGCTGGGACTGGGTCCCCACCTCGGCCGCGTGCAGCGGGTGTGGTACAGAGCTGGGCAGGTCGAAGGCTCACCTGGAGAGAGACTCTCTCTCTGGAGGATGCCCGGAAGCTTCACACGGGGGCTAGCGGGGTGGGGTGGCCCGGCCAGGAGCTCAGGGAGACGACAAGCTCTTCCTAGGTTGGGGCCGGGATGCCGCACCTGGAGGGAGGTTCCATCCACCATGGGGACTTCAAAGAAGTGGGGGGTGGCTCTGCTCCAGCCTCCAAAGGAAGTGGCAACTGTGGGTGGGGGCAGAAGGGATGCAGTCAGCCTCCGAGCCTCCACCACCACGGGTCCCAGTATCCCTCCCACCCCTCATCCCCCCCCCGCCCCCCGCCTCTGTGGCAGGGCATTCCCTTTTGTTCTCTCTCTCCTTTTGGGTGTTGTGGTTTGCAAAAGAGGCAATGGGTGACAATCATGTTCAGTCTATCGTCTACTCTCAGCATGCTTCTCCCATCCTGGGAGGATCCTCCCAACACCCTTGATTTGGTGCTCCCTTCTCTGTCTGGGCTTCCTTTTCCCCAGCATGTGTGGCTGGCCTCCAAGCCATGGAGCAAAATTCCTGGTACTAATCTCGTCCACTCTTGGCTGTTAGTCTCCTATTTTGTGACTTTATGTTCCCCAGATGAATGCGATCTTTCTATGTCTATCCCTCTCTTTCTGAATCATTTTGCTTAACATGATACTTTCCATGTAGTACCACTTGTATGTAAATTTCATGACTTCATCCTTTCTAACAGCTACATAGTACTCCATTGTGTAGATGTACCAAAGTTTCTTTAACCAGTCATCTGTTCTCGGGCACTCAGGTTTGGTGGAGGGATGGGTATTCTATCATTGTATAACTGAAACCCAAGCACAAAACTTTGTAAGTCTACAACTGTACCTCATGGTGTTTCACTAATAAAAATTAAAAAAAAAAAAGAAATCATTTGGGGAAGGGGTTGTTTCTTTTTTCATTTTATTTTAACGAAAGAGCCAGGATTGACAAAGTTACTGGTAGTTGTGTTTTAGGCACACAATAATTCAACACCAATCCCTCCAGCAGTGTCAACTTCCCTCCACCAGTGCTCCCAGATTCCCTCCCCACCCCCCCCCCTCCACTCCCACCTGTCAGCCTGCTTCAGTGGCTGCCGCTTAAGTTCTAGGCTCTCAGCGTTGTCAAGTCCATGTTTTGGGTCTTGGCTACACCCCTCACCCATATCACCAATATAACACAGCTTCTTGTTCTCTCCGTCTCCCCTTTCTTTATCCCCTATTTCTCAAGGGTGGTGACACACAGTTCCGTGCCTTGCCATCATCCTCATCACATGCCGCCCCTCCCCCTCCCTCGGCGCCTCCCCCCTCCCCCCACCCCCCCACCCCCCCGCCCCGGCCATTCAACGTATTCCATTGATTTTCTTGATTTCACCTGGGTTCAATACCAGAACATCTGCCCTGATAGCAAAGTGGTCTCACCCCTCAAGATGAGTTTGATTTTGTGCCCATAGAATGAAGTTTTCTTTGGCGGTTCTTTGATTTGGGTTTCATAACTCTGGTTTCAAAACCATGTGCACGCCTCAACTGTCACAACGGTCCCTGTTCTCAGAGGAAAACCGATCACTGTTCCCTTGAGCAAAGGAAATACAGACTTCTCTCCTCTGCAGGCTCAGAACCCACCCTCCAGGGTCCGCCGCTCCCATCAGACCAGAGTGCCCCCACCCCCACCCAGTCCCTGAGTTTCCTGTGTGTTGTCCCTACAGGGCCAATTCCAGGGTTCTTTCTGGATTCTTTTTTTTTTTGTTTGTTTTGGAGACACACACCTGGCTTGTTTTGTGCTCAGGGTTCACTCCTGGCAGGCTCAGGGGAGAAACAGAGTGCTGGGGATCCATCCTGGGTCGAACTACTGCAAGGCAAGTGTCCTACCCACTATACTACCTTTCTGGCCCTCTCTCATGATTCTTCACCATCATTTGTTCCAAAGGAAAATTGTACTTGTCAGAGACCATGAGGCGATAGCACAGCAGGTAGGGTGTTTGCCTTGCACGCGTGGCCGACCCAAGTTCGATTCCTCCGCCCCTCTCGGAGAGTCCAGCAAGCCACTCGAGAGTATCTCGCCCGCATGGCAGAGCCTGGCAATTTCCCCGTGATGTATTCGATATGCCAGACACAGTAACAACAAAGTCTCCAATGGAGACGTTACTGGGCCCGCTCGAGCAAATCGATGAACAACAGGAGGACAGTGACAGAGACCATGAAAAGGAGAGTGAGATGGGATCATGGAGATTCGCAAGTCCAGAGAGATGGTGTGTACGTGCGTGTGTGCGCGTATGTGTGTTTGTCACAGCATGATATCCAGGTCAGGTTAGGGGTGCTCTGTGTGTGTGTGTGTGTGTGTGTGTGTGTGTCTGTCTGTCTGTCTGTCTGTGTTTATCTTGGTGTGGGCCAGGTCAGGGATGGGGAGAGTTTATGTGTATGTATGTGTTTATCGTGGCATGATGGACATGTCAAGTTAGGGGTGCTCTGTGTGTGTGCACGTGCGCATGTGTGTTTGTCTGTCTGTCTGTCTATGTGTGTATGTTTATCTTGGTGTTGGCCAGGTCAGGGATTGGAGTGTGACTGAGCATGTGTATATGTGTGTGTTTCTATCACAGTATAATAAACATGGTTTAGGGATTCTGTATGTGTGTCTGTATGTGTGTTTATCTCTGTAGGCTAGGTCAGGGGTGAGGGGTTGTGTGTGTGTGTATGTGTGTGTTTAGTGTGTTTATCACAGTATGATAAACATGGTTTAGGGATTCTGTATGTGTGTCTGTGTCTGTGTGTCTCTATGTGTGTTTATCTCTGTAAAGTAGGTCAGAGGTGGTGTGTGTGTGTGTGTGTGTGTGTGTGTGTGTGTGTGTGTGTGTGACAGCATGATATCCAGGTCAGGGTAGGGGTACTCTGTGTGTGTGTGTGTGTGTGTCTGTCTGTCTGACTATATGTGTATGTTTATCTTGGTGTGGGCCAGATCAAGGATGGGAGTGGGAGTGTGTGTGTGTGTGTGTGTGTGTGTGTGTAGAGTGTTTATCACAGCATGATAAACACGGTTTAGGGATTCTGCTGGAGCGATAGCACAGCGGGTAGGGCGTTCGCCTTACAAGCGGCCAACATGGCCAACCGGAGTTCGATTCCTCCGCCCCTCTCGGAGAGCCCGGCAAGCTACCGAGAGTATTCGATATGCCAGACACAGTAACAACAAAGTCTCCAATGGAGACGTTACTGGGCCCGCTCGAGCAAATCGACGATCAACGGGAGGGCCTTTACCTTTACCTTTACCTAGGGATTCTGCATGTATATCTGTGTGTCTGCATGTTTGTTTATCTCAGTAGGCTAGGTCAGGGATGGGTGTGTGTGTGTGTGTGTGTGTGTGTGTGTGTGTGTGTGTGTGTGTGTGTGTGCCCGCGCACAGGCTTGTCAGCATGGGCCCCCAGGGCCCTCAAACTCCCTCCCCTGACCTGGGAGAATGGGTCTCTCACTGCACTGCCGACTGCCATGGGGGCAGCCCAAGAGCACATGGGGATGGGTCAAGGAACAGAAGCGGCTTCCGGGACCACCAGGCCCGAGGGGCCCTCAGAGGAAGGCGCCCTGCGCTCGGGGCCAAAGTGCTTTTCCTCCAACCTGAACTCACTTGACTGGCTGTGCCCCATCCCCCTCTGCCTCGCCCGGCTCTGCCACTGCTCTTGGTCACTCCTATTTAGCCGCTTCTTCCTCCGCTTTTCCACACCCCGCCCCACGCCCCACCTCTAGGTCTGCAACCCCCTCCCTACTGCCCGGCCCCATGTCCAGCTTGACCCCCTGCGTTCCAGCTGACCCAGCTGGGTTCCTGGCTTAGTTCTTTGTTTGTGTGTGGAGGGGGCCATGTGTGTCTGGAGGAGGGGTGAAGGAAGGAGGAGGGGCCAGGCAGTGGTGCTCAGGGGCTGTTCCTGGGTTTGTGCTGGAGATGGGCCCTGGGGTGCTCAGCGGACCATATGAAGTGCCAGAGGTTGGGACTAGGGTCCACTGCCGCCACCTGTGTGGCCAGCATCGTCCCACCTGAACTGCCTCACAGCCACTGACTCTGTCCTTAACAGACAAGCACCCCACGGGATGACATTCCCAGCTGACTCCTCTCCCTCGAAGCAACGATGACATTTCAGGATTTAAAGAGGCCTCAGGACACCTGCAGTCGGGGCAGGGCTGCAGCCTTGCACACGAGGCTGCTGGGGGCAAGAAGATGCCCCCAGTATCCATCCCCATCCATTTTCCTTCCTCTCTGTGGACCCCCCGTCCTTCCTCCTGACGGGGTCTGAGTCACCTATACTCCCAGGACACTCTCCTCTTCCCCGACCCTGCCCCAAACTCACGGCCTAGGTGAGACGGGAACATTCTGTCTGTGTGCAGCCAGGCCCAGAGGGACCGCGGGCACTCAGACTGCCCAGCCCAGGCTGCACGAGGCAGCTTCTCCCTCCTCCCCCCCACCCCGCTCCCACCCCCAGAGCCAGAGAAACTTCCAGAAGCCCGTACCATTGACGAAGCTCTGCAGGATGGTCCGCAGGTTGGGGTACTCGTGCAGGTTCACGGGGCTGAAGAGGTTCTGCAGCAACAGCAGGCTGAAGGTCTTCTCCAGCGTGGTGAGGACTCTGTACACCACCCGGGACATGGGTACCTGCATCTGGTAGGCCTCCAGGGACTCCTTGCAAAGGGAGCAGAGGGTGCAGGGGCATTTTTGTCTACTTGTCTACTTGGGGCATTTTTTTTTTTTAATTGAGGGTGAGGGGGGGGTCCCTTATTATCTTATTCTTACTTTGGACAACCTGGCAGGCTACTGTATGTAACCTGCACACACGGCAGAGTCTGGCAAACTCCTCGTGGTATAGCCAATGTGCCAAATACCAGTAACAATATGGGTCTCATTCTCCTAACCCTGAAAGAGCCTTGGATATGGCATTTTTTAAAATCTCAGGGCTAGGACGAAGAAAATGTTACTGGGGCCTGCTTGAGGCAATCGACGAACAACAGGATGATCGTGATCGTGATCGAGGGTGGGGGGGTCACACCTGGCGAGGCTCAGGGGTTATCTGGCTCTGCACTCAGGAATCACTCCTCGCGATGCTCAGGGGACCTTCTAGGGTACCGCGGATTGATCCCCGGTAGGTTGCGTGCAAAGCGGATGCCTGACCCCCTGGACGCTGGCTCCCTGGCCGTACTTGAGTCAGTTTCTAAGTCGGGAGCAAATGATCTTGTTCACATGACATTGCCGTGGAGAGTGAAGCACTCACAGGCTTCATGCCTGTGGGGACGGTGGGCCACGGGTGGGCACAACTGAACCTCCGGGACAAGTCTGAGTGACTGGGGATCGCACTCACCTGCGGCACCCAGAGAAAAAACCTGGGAGTGGACAGGACAGCCTTGGCCTTGGGTTACAGAACTGAGTTTGCCCAAGGGCAGAGTGGGGGAAGCAGGAGATGGCAAACTGGGGGGTCCTGGGTACGACAGTGGGGGGGAGGTGGCTGTGTGCCCCTATACCCCAAAGGTCAACACCACTGAAACCACGTGGCCTGGAGTAACAGAGTAAGTCAGGGGTGTGGGTCTTGCGGAAGGCCCCCTGAGGAAAGACAGAGTGGTCGGGGAGGAGAGCTGGGTCGAAGGTCGCTGCTGTGGGTCCTTCTCGAAGGTTCTGGGCAGAGAACCCTGCAGCAACCACAGGGCCGTGACAAGGGAGAAAGAATCCAATTTTCTCTATGCCCCCAGAGGGCCTGCAGCTCAGGAAATGCTCAAAATTAAAAAGAATCTAGAAAAAAAGGAACAAACCGCACAGCGACCTCCCAGCCCCGCTGCGCTCCTGGGCCCAGCAAACCGTGGACCCGAATTGTCGAGAAACTTCCCCAGGGCGGCGCGAGTGGGTGGAATGTCCCTGCTCGCTTGCTGCACAAGAATGTGCTTTGAAAACCCATGTCTGAGCCCTAACTGGGGCAAAGTCCTCCCCGAGAGAAAACCAGGATAAAGATCCTGAGATGAGGTCATACTGGGACGGGACTCGGGGGGGGGGGGGGTCCCTCAACCAAATCAACTCAAGTGTCCTTAGAAGAGGGAGGGGAGACGTCCAGAGGGAAGCGGAGGGCACGAGTGTGCTACCAAGCCAGGAAGGTCAGGAGTAGCCAACGCCAGCCCGGAAGGAACAGGAGCAAGAAGGACATACTTCCAGAGACCAGAGAGGGGGCCACCAGTCCTGCTAACAGGAGACTTGGGGACCCGCCCCCCCCATTTCCCTGATAATGAATCCAAGGGGTCAGACATTCTAAACTCTAGATATGCTGGGGACGGGCTGTCTGACCCCAGACTTGGATCATGGACTTTCCCCCGGGAACCGCCAGGGAGACTCACCCTGTACTGCCCCTCGGTGATGAAGGCGCTGTCTCGGAGCCCCTCGAAGAAGGGGAAGGGCTTGGATATGGCGAAGGAGATGAGCACCTTCTGTTGGGTAAAGTGCTGACATAGTGCTGCCTCTAAGGTGCGGGGCCGGGCGAACATTCTGGCAACAAAGGAGAGAAGAGAAAAATCAGAGAAGGACGCAGCAGGCTGGCCCTGCACCGGGATACTGACCCCAGCCTCCCTCCCAACGTCCACCTCCCGTCCCAGCAGCCTGCAAAGCCGCAGCCCTGCCAGGAGACTCCTGGGTGGAAGAAGCACGAACCACATCCAGCACCCAAAGAAGCTGACCTGGAAATCCCAAAGGCAAAGGCTGAAATCTCGAAGATTGCATAGTGTTATAGCCACACTTTGAGGGAAAGGGTTTCGTAGGATAACACTGTTCTGTCCTTCCTGCATAGCCTCAGGTAGTTTAGATTTATTGGGTTGCTCCCATCACAGTGCTCCCATTCCTCTGAGTTTATCTGTAACTTCTTTCTCTGTGCTCTGTTGACTTGTAAATATTGTTTTTCTCTTCTCCCTAAGTCCTTTGCATAGTTTATTCAGAGCAATGTCCTTTTTGTATGGACACAAGAAGACAGTATGCTTTTGTTATGTGACTCTCAGTGATATTTTCCTCCTGGGCATCTGTTCTCTCACCTAAGCCTCAGCTGGCCTTTCTTCCTAGAGTCCCCAAAAGCAGGGTGCCCACGAGGGACTGGATGGACCCAGGGCAAGCGGTATGCTACCCTGGCATCGAGATGGGCCTGGCCAAAGTGCCATAATGCTTAACTATAAGTTAAGAGCTTGGTCATGAACAAATGTGGTCATGATCAACACACAACAAACTGTCCTTCCGTTGTTCATCAATTTGTTCGAGTGGGCCCAGTAACGTCTCCATTGTGAGACTTCTTGTTACTGTGTTTGGCATATTGAGTACGTCACGGGTAGCTTGCCAGGCTCTCGGAGAGGGGCAGAGGAATCGAACGCGGCTCAGCCGGGCTGGCTGCACGCAAGGCAAATGCCCTACCGCTGTGCTATCACTCCAGTCCGGTCATGATCCAAAATGTAATAATTAGATTCAGACCCTGCTAGGGTTAGAAATGATTAATCTGGCCTGAGCGCTGTAGTCTGAGTCTGTGGCAAGATGTTCCCAGGAGAGCTGCCCTACAAGTCTCAATGGTGTCTCTTACTGAGTCCATACAGAAATAACTAGTATTGAGATGTTGATAGAGTTATTAGACTGAGGAAAGGAGAAAAACACCTTAGGAGGTATTTTGCCCTTGGGCAGTCAGGAAGGGCTTTGGAATACCTCTTTGGTGGTGTTTCCTTTGAACCTGGTGGACCCTCAGGAAGAGCTTTCTTATGTTGATTTTGCTACCTGACTGGGCACTGTGTCAGCCCAGAAGGCAGGGGAGCTGGAGAGACAAGAGAGTTGGAGAAGGAGAGAAAGAGCAGGACAGCATGATAGACCTTGGAGAGGCTAGCAAGGGGGACAGAGAGAGAAGAATGTAGAAGAATACAGGAACAGGCACGTGGAGAGAGAGAAAGCCCAGGCTGCGAGACGGAGCACAGAGAGATGAGCGGGAGAGACAGAAGGAGACAGGAATGAGGAGCAGTGAGAGACCAGAATGGGAGGCTCAGAGAGACTGGGGCAGGCATGTGGGGAGAATGGAATAAACAGTAACTGATCAATCAACCGGCTTGGCCCTCATCTCCTCCACTGTCTGCCCCAGGGTCTGGGCTGCCCTGGCTGCGGGAGTGGCTTGGGCCCACCCAGAACGCAGTGTGGGGGTAGGGGAAGAGCTGTTGGGGCCCCCCTGGCCGTCCCTTAAAGAGTTTGTACAGGGTTTGACTTGCAATAACACAGTGGGTAGGACCTTTGCCTTGTACGCAGCTGACCCGGGTTTGATTCCTCAGTCCTTTTCGGAGAGCCCAGAGAGCTACCGAGAGTATCCCACCGGCACGGCAAAGCCTGGTAAGCCACCCGTGGCATGTTCGATATGCCAAAAACAGTAACAATAAGTCTCACAATGGAGATGTTACTGGTGCCTGCTTGAGCAAATCGATGAACAACTGGATGACAGTGCTACAGTGCTATCATTGTCACTGTCACTGTCCTCCCGTTGTTCATCGATTTGCTCGAGCGGGCCCAGTAACGTCTCCGTTTTGGGACTTGTTGTTTCTGTGTTTGGCATATCGAATATGTCACAGGGAGCTTGCCAGGCTCTGCCGTGCGGGCGAGATACTCTCGGTAGCTTGCTGGGTTCTCCGAGAGGGGTGGAGGAATCGAACCTGGTCAGGCTAGGCCAGCCGAGCGCAAGGCAAACACCCTACCACTGTGCTATCACTCTAGCTCGTGTTATCATCATCATCATTGTCATTATCATCATCATCATCATTATTATTATTATGGTTTTTGGGCCACACCAGCAATGCTTGGGGATTACTCCCAGCTCTGCACTCAGGATCACCCCTGGTGGTACTCCGGGAACCACATGGGATGCTAGGGATGGAACCCGGGTCAGCTACATGCAAAGGAAATGCCCTCCCTGCTGTACTATCGCTCCAGTCCCAACAATTTATAACTGACTTGATCTTCACCAAGTCTTTTCGAGCTGGTTGCTCTGACTGTGGTATTTATTGGGGGGTGGCGGGTGGGGAACAACACAGCAGCTTAAAGGGGGCTGTTCACTGGCTGCACTGTAGCACTGTCGTCCCACTGTTCATCGATTTGCTCGAGCAGCACCAGCAACGTCTCCATTGTGAGACTTGTTGTTACTGGCAAATCAAATATGCCACGGGTAGCTTGCCAGGCTCTGCCGTGCAGGCGGGATACTCTCAGTAGCTTGCTGGGCTCTCCGAGAGGTACGGAGGAATCGAACCCGGGTCAGCTGCGTGCAAGGCAAACTGGCTAGACACTCTAAAACGCACACGTGGTAGCAGGGGACACGTTCGGAATTTTGTGTTTCCAGGTTTATTGCCCTAGGTCTTTTGCCTTAAATATTGCTGTCTTGCATATCACGGCCTGTGGCTGGTGCTGTGTGGACAGCCAGGCCTGTGGCCTACCGTCTACACCAGCAATGCTCATACAGCAGCCCATCCCTACTGGGTCGAACGATGGGAGATCTGTGGTGTTTAGAACGGTTGGCTAATCACCTGGGCTGAAGCGATAGCACAGCAGGTAGGGCGTTTGCCTTGCACGCAGCCAGCCCGGCCGACCCGAGTTCGATTCCTCCGTCCCTCTCAGAGAGCCTGGCAAGCTACCAAGAGTATCTCGCCCACACAGCAAAGCCTGGCAAGCTCCCTGTGACGTATTCGATATGCCAAACACAGTAACAACAAGTCTCAAAATGAGACGTTACTGGGCCCGCTCGAGCAAATCAATGAACAACGGGAGGGCAGTGGGTAATCACCTGCCATCTTGGGCACACAGATATGGCAAACAAACACTTACAGGGTGTGAGAAGAAAACCTGCCTTCGCTGACTTATCTTATATCTTCCTTCCCCATCTCAGAGCAGAGACACGGGACGTGTCGGGCCAGCACACGTGGTCCAGTGGCAGGTTCCTGCCTGGCATGCAAGAGGTTGAGAGTCTGACCCCGCACCCCAATTGCACCAGTGTGACCCCTAATTCTGCAGCCAAGGACATGAGCACCCCCAGAGGCAGCTCAAACAGTTACGGACCACGAGAAAGTATTAAAAAATTTTACAGAGAGTACCCTTGACCAACTGTCAAGAAAATGGGACCCAGGGGGCTGGAGCAATAGCATAGTGGGTAGGGCGGTTGCCTTGCATGCGGCCAACCTGGGTTCGATTCCCAGCATCCCATATGGTCCCCTGAACACTGCCAGAAGTAATTTCTGAGTGCAGAGCCAGGAGTGACCCCTGAGCATTGCTGGGTGTGACCCAAAAAGCAAAAAAAAAAAAAAGAAGAAGAAGAAAGAAAGAAAGAAAGAAAGAAAGAAAGAAAGAAAGAAGATGGGACCCAGGACACATAAACCTCGGACCTGAGCAATTTACTGCAGAGATGGTCCCGGACTTTGTAATAGGCCGTTTCCGCTGGGTTGCTCCAGACAGGGGGCAGGTGCTGTCCCTCTGCCTGCCCTCTGAGAACCCCAGCAGCCACCATTTTTTAGAAGTCAGCAACAATCTTCAGGTACGAGTGGTGGTGGTGCCATAGGCCAAGCCTCACAGGACAGGGGAGGAGCTGGCCCTTCTCCCTCCCACTGCCCTGATGGGACTCCGAGATGAAGCCACACCTGTCCACCGTCCACTTAAGCTCCCAGACAGCCGTGATCCAGAGACACACAAATGAATCTCAGACACGAGCAACTTGCTGCAGCAATCTCTTCAGACCCTAATTATTAAAATTTTAGAATTCCTAGAGCGCGCGGCCACTCTTGCAGCCATGCGACATGATATTGTATCCATAACAAGCAATACAAAACACATTGTCTAGCACTGCCTTTTTGGCAGGTGTGATTGGTGGTGGGACTGGTCTCGAAATATCGAAGGTAACTAAAGTAGAGAAAGAGAGTATTGTGGAAATTGTCAGCCACAAAGGCAGGGGGAGGTGTGGAATGGGGGTGGGGGGATACTGGGGATTTTGGTGGTGGAAAACCGTACACTGTTGAAGGGTTGGGTGTTTGATGACTGTATGATGGGGCTGGAGTGATAGCACAGCGGTAGGGCGTTTGCCTTGCACGCAGCCAACGTGGCCGACCCGAGTTCGATTCCTCCGCTCCTCTCGGAGAGCCCGGCAAGCTACCGAGAGTATCTCATCCGCACGGCAGAGCCTGGCAAGCTCCCCGTGACGTATTCGATATGCCAAACACAGTAACAACAAAGTCTCCAATGGAGACGTTACTGGGCCCACTCGAGCAAATCGACGAACAACGGGAGGGCCTTTACTTTTATGATCGAAGCTCAAACATGAAAGTTTTGTTACTGGCACCCAAAAGGAGAGAGAGAACAAAACGGAGTGCCCTGCCACAGAGGCAGGGTGGGATGGGGGACATGGGGGCGGGTGGGAGGGATACTGGGATTCATGGTGGTGGAAAATGGCCACTGGTGGAGGGATGGGTACTCGATCATTGTACAACTGAAACCCAAGCACAAAAACTTGTAAGTCTACAACTGTACCTCATGGTGTTTCACTAATAAAAATTAAAAAGAAAAAAGAAAAAAGAAAGTTTTGTTAATGTACTTCAAGGAGAATCAATACAAAATAAATAAATAATTTAAAAATAATCCATTGAAGGGATGATTGCAAAAAATAAATAAATAAATAAAAGAAAGAAAGAAAGAGAGAGAGAAAGAAAGAAAATTAAAATCCAATTGCTTAAAGGATTCAAGAGGAAAAACACTGGACAAGGGACCTCTTCATTCCTTCTTCATTTGATGGCTGGGCTGAGCTGCACTCGGTGACTCGTCCAGCAGCAAATGGAGCCCGACTGTCTCTCCTAATTCTTTAAATTTGAGAGAAAAAAAAAATATATATATCATAAAATAGAATGATTCATAACAGTACCAGAAAACACGACGCCGTGTAGAGGCGGAGGGAGCTATCATTATGAGCTATAATCCTAGGAGGCTGAGAACAGGGGGTATGTGTGTGTGTGTGTGTGTGTGTGTGTGTGTGTGTGTGTGGTGTGGTGGATGGTCCATGACCTGCCCATAGCAGGATATAACAAACATGAGAAGGAGAAAGCCAGAAGAACCTGTTTGCCATATTCGATATGCCAAACACAGTAACAAGTCTCACAATGTTACTGGGCCCACTCGAGCAAATCGATGAACAACGGGAGGACAGTGACAGTGTATTATTATTTCAATACACTGAAGAACCCAGAAGAACCTGGTTCTTTGGGACGAGGAGGGACTCAGGGGTCATAATCGGGATAATTCCACAGCAGCATTGGAACCGAACCTCCAGCCTGCTGCTGGTTGAATCCCCGGGAAGAAAATAAGATTCCAAGCAAAGTGTGACCAAGCAAAGCTCCATTGTCACCCATGAGCCAGCCTGTTTCTCAATTAAGTGAGGTCAGATTTTTATTGGCTGAAGAGCTATTTTTTTCTTTTTTCATAAGCCAAAGCCAAATATCCACACAGAACCAAAAGATCAAGGGCTTGGAGAGAGTACTGCAGGCCGGGCATTTGTCCTGCTCACAGCAGAGCTGGGTTCGATCCCCAGCATCCCGTATGGTTTTCAGGAACCCTCCAGGAGTGATCCCTGAGAGTAGAACCAGGAGAAAGAAGCCCCGAGCACTGCAGGTATGGTCAAAAAACCTAAGTAAATAAATAACGGAAAAGAGCAAAGAGACAGACCATTAAGTCAAATGCAAAAAGCCTCGCTCACTCATGGGCAGTTGAAACCATGCACAGAAAGACAACTCGAGAAGAAAGTTGCTAATCAAATTGGCCAAGGTAGAAGATAAAATACTTCTCCGACTTTCCTGCTGGAACACCAGCTAGCAGGGAACCTTTCAAATGACTTGCAATATGCATTCCCTTGCGTGTCAAATTCTATCGCAGGCTCCTTCTTTATTTTATATTTATTTATTATATTATTGGAGTGATAGCACAGCGGTAGGGCATTTGCCTTGCACGAGGCCAACTTGGCTGACCTGAGTTCGATTCCTCCGCCCCTCTCGGAGAGCCTGGCAAGCTACCGAGAGTATCTCACCTGCAGGGCAAAGCCTGGCAAGCTACCCATGCCACATTCGATATGCCAAACACAGTAACAACAAGCCTCACAATGTTACTGGGCCCGCTCGAGCAAATCGATGAACAACGGGAGGACAGTGACAGTGTATTATTATTTTAACTTTCATTTTAGGAACCGGGATGGACAATAACGGTAGCAGCAGGGTTTCCTGCCTAGAACATTCTAGCACCACACCCTCCACCCGAGTGTCAGCTCCCCTTCCACCACCATCCAGTGACCTGCATGCTCCCCTAACCCCCCAATAAAAACCAACTCTGGGTTTCTGGGCCTTTGAGCCTTTGGGTATGTGCTGTTCCCATACTATGTTTCTTCAGATGCCAAGTACTGGAGAGATTATTCTGACACTGTCCCTGCAAATAAGGTTCGGGGTGTGCTTGGGGACCAATTGCACTGCCCTCAAAGTCTCTCTGCCACCCACTGCCTTATCCCCTGCAGCTCCGGACACTGGGCCCCTGCAAAGCTCCCTCAGGAGGAGGAAGAGGAGGAGGTGGAGGAGAAAGAGGGGGAAAGAGAAGAGAAGGAGGAGACGGCGGTGGAGGCTGGGATCTGGGAAGGGGCTGAGCCCGCCGGCTTCTCCCCATGCCCAGCGCCCCTTCCTCCTTCCCCGGGGCACCCCGGCCTCCCTGGGTCCCCCCGCAGGCTCTTGCCAAGCCCCGCGCCAGGCTGGGAAGCCGCGTGGGCCGCGCTGGGCGGCAGGACGGGCCGGAGAGCACCCGGGACGCACGAGACCCCGCGGGGACACGCACCTACCTGGACGCGGGAAGCGACGCCCTTCCCGGGCGCGAGGGGACCCGGCGGGCGGCGGGGGCACGCGGGCACCGGGAGGAACGCGGAAGGGGCCGGGGCGGGACCTGCGGAGGAAAGAAAAGCGAAAGTCCCGGGCGGTGGGCGGGGACAGGCGGGGCAGGGCTGTCCAGGGGACACGGGGCGGGGGACCCCTGCAGGGGGACAGGCGGGCCAGGGTTGTCTGTCCGGGGACACGGGGCGGAGGTCGCTGCAGGGAACAGGCTGGGCAGCGCTGTCCAGGGGACATGGGACGGGGGGGGGGGGGGGGGGAGGGGGGCGCTACACTGGACAGTCTGGGCAGGATTGTCCAGGGGACACGGGGCGAGGGTCGCTGCAGGGGACAGGCTGGGCAGCGCTGTCCAGGGGACATGGGGCAAGGGAGGGCGCTGCAGGGGACATTACATTTGAAATATCGACTGCACCTTTGAGATTGTTCCAATATGCTTGCACATTATATTTCACTATTTGATTTTCTTTTTTTCTGTGGTTTTTTTTTTTTTTTTGCATCATAAGGGAATGTTCTATTGGTGTATTTTCAATTTACTGGTTCTTTCCTTTGTCATGTATAATCCACTTTTAGGTCATTTAAGGCGTTCTTCATTTTTGAAGAAGTTCTTTTAATTTTCTTGTTTATTATTTTTGGTTTCCATCTTTTAGCTTGCTTAGCCATCTGTTTTTAAATATATCGATTACCTTTTTTCAGTAGAAACCCTAGCATATTTAATTAATCAGTTATTTTAAATCCCTCTCTGACATTTTGAAAATCTGTTACACTTGAGTCAGGCTTGGATGATTGTTTTATCTCTTCAGACTGTGATTTTCTTTTCCTTTTTTGTTTTCTTCTATTTTATTTTATTTTTTTCGATCCAAAGCTTTGTGCTTCAACAATGGTATATACTACATTTATGGTCTCTACTTGAGCCTAATTTCTCCAAGATCCTCCTTGAAAAATGGCATAATTTTGTCTTTATTTTATAGCTTAGTATTCTATTTTGTAGATATATCACATTTCTTTATGCCCTCATCTTTCACTGTGCATCTGAGTTGTTTTCTTGACAGGGATATTATTGATAGTGCTCAAGTAAAGGGGTATATAATTTCTTTTTTAAAAATCTTATTTGATGCCCTGCCACAGAGGCAGGGTGGGATGGGAGAGTTGGGGGGTGGGAGGGATACTGGGACCCGTGGTGGTGGGAAATGGGCATTGGTGGAGGGATGGGTATTTGATCATTGTATAACTGAAACCCAAACACAAAAATTTGCAAGTCTACAACTGTACCTCATGGTGTCTCACTAATAAAAATTTTTAAAAAATCTTATTTGATTTTTATAAATCTGTTCACAATAAAGGCCCTCCTAATCGATGTTGATCGTTGATTTGCTCGAGCGGGCCCAGTAACGTCTCCATTGGAGACTCTGTTGTTACTGTGTCTGGCATATCAAATACTCTCGGTAGTTTGCCGGGCTCTCCGAGAGGGGCGGAGGAATCGAACTCGGGTCGGCCATGTTGGCCGCTTGTAAGGCGAACGCCCTACCCGCTGTGCTATCGCTCCAGCCCACAATAATTCATTACACTTAATATTCAAACACCAATCCTACCACCATTTGCACCTTCCCACCACCATAAGAGGAAAATGTGTGAAGGTTGTTGCATTTCATGCTGGAGACCCGGTATGCGAAATTACAAACATGCTTGTTAAACCAAACCAAACGTATGCTACTCTTGGTACATCAGTGGTGTAGAAAGATAGAGGCAACACGCTCCAGGAATTCTAAAATTTAGAATTCGATTATTTATTTCTGAGTCTCTGGATCTTGTTGATGAGATTATATGGCACCAGGGGCAGCTTATGGGTGTGACTGCCAAGCTACTGGAAAACTTGGGAGATGGGGGGAAGGCCCAGTCTCACTCCGAGGGAGCTTGGAGATTTCAGTCACGGGTCCCGCATACCTGGGTTTTTCTGCAGATTTACTTGTGGCTGAGGAGAGTGGCCGTGAGCATCGCGGTGGTTGAGTTCTGGAGGTTTTCTCTTTCCGGGGCTCTGTTGGGGTGGGGAGGGAAACTCAATGGGCCCCACTCCAGTGAAGACAGCCTGGCGCTGGGTCAGGACATTCTTACATATATATAATTTCAAATTAAAGTTGTACCTTCTCCAATAAGTACCTAGAAGAGGATAATATTGTATTTTTTTTCAAGTTTGATTAAGATACTGTGATTTATAACTAAGTTACTCATAGTTGAGTTTTAGGTATACAAATTCCAGCATCAGTCCCACCACCATTGTCAACTTCCCCCCACCAGGGTCATCGATTTGCTCGACTGGGCCCAGTAACGTCTCCATCATGAGACTTGTTGTTACTGTGTTTGGCATATCAAATACGTCACGGGGAGCTTGCCAGGCTCTGCCATGTGGGCGAGATACTCTCGGTAGCTTGCCGGGCTCTCCAAGAGGGGCAGAGGAATCGAACCCAGGTCAGCGGCGTGCTAGGCAAACATCCTACCCACTATGCTGTCCCTCCGGCCCATTATTATTATTATTATTGTTATTATTATTATTATTGGGCTGGAGCGATAGTACAGCAGTAGGGCGTTTGCCTTGCACACGGTCAACCTGGTCAACCCGAGTTCGATTCCTCCGCCCCTCTCGGAGAGCCCAGCAAGCTACCGAGAGTATCTCGCCCGCACGGCAGAGCCTGGCAAGCTACCCGTGACGTATTTGATATGCCAAACACAGTAACAAGTGTCATCAGGGTCATAATGGAGAACAATTTATACCATTTACATTATCAGTAATAATACACAAAAATTTCTTTTTCTCCATATATTCAGTAATATTTTAATTCCCGATCTTATTTATTTTCAAATAGTGGGGATACTAATTGGTCTAAAATAGTGTATTAGGATTTTGATTTTCATTTCTCTACTAATACATGATGATGTATACATAATATTATGTATACATAATAATACTACATTTTGATGTGCTCATTGACCCATCTTTGGTAACATCCTATTTAGATCTGTCCATTTTTGAATTGGGCTATTTATAAATTTTTCGTTGAGTTGTATGATTGTTTATATATTTTGGATATTAGCCCCTCATCAGTTGTATGATTTGCAAAGACTCCCATTGAATAGAATGTCTTTTCTCTTTATTGGCAGAGGCAGGGACAACATGCAGTGCTCAGGAATTACTCCTGGTTCTGTGCTCAGGGATAACTTCAAGCAGGGCTCAGGGATCTCTATGTGATGTTGGAAAATAAATAGAACCCAGGCCAGCCACATGCAAGGCAAGCACCCTCCCTGCTCTACTATCTCTCCAGCCTGCCTTTTCATTTTGATGGGGGATTTTTTTTTCCTTTTGGGCTCACACCCGGCAATGCACAGGGGTTACTCCTGGCTCTGCACTCAGGAATTACCCCTGGCAGTGCTCACGGGACCATATGGGATGCTGGGAATTGAACCTGGGTCAGCCACGTGCAAGGCAAACGCCCTACCCGCTGTGCTATTGCTCCAGCCCCGGGGATTTTTTTTTAACTGCTTCGCAAAAACTTTTTTGTTTGAGATAGTACCATTTGCTTGTTTTTACTTATATTTCTCTTGTCATTGTAGATAAATACACAAAAGCAGCTTAAAGGCTGAAATCTAAATGCTTGTGCCTATTTTTCTATATATTTCATCATTTTGGATCAGTTTTATGTCAATTTTGAAATGATTTTTTTGTGTGATATAAGATATTGGTCAAGTTTGTTCTTCTGCATTTTTTTCAGCTGCATCAGGGGTAGGGAACCTGGAGACCTTGTAGGTGCAGCTCTGGGTGACCAGATGCCCTGTGGAATTCTCTATTCCCCATAAATTCTTATTTTCCTGGGTGTATTTCCTATTGGCCCTCAGTGCCAGCACTCTGGGCTGAAGGGTTGTGATTCCTAATGCAGGAAATGTTCCAACCATCTGGGGTGATGTTTCTACCTTCACAAGTATGTATTTGTGTCGCTCTCTCCCGTTGTGGTGCTGTACTTTATTCTTTTTTTTTTTTCCTTTTCGGGTCACCCCAGCGATGCTCAGGAGTTACTCCTGGCTCTGTACTCAGGAATTACTCCTGGCGGTGCTTGGGAGGCCATATGGGATGCTGGGGATCGAACCCAGGTCGGCCATGTGCAAGGCAAATGCCCTATCTGCTGTGCTATTGCTCCAGCCCTTGTACTTTATTCTTTGAGGTAGAAGTTCTACCGGACTTCAGGTCTTTGTCCATATCAAACATTCCACACTTCACTGTAGATTTGTTATGTCCAAGGGAATAAGTGAATTCAGTGCCTTTCTATTCTGCCATCTTGAGCTAGAACTCTATTCTTTTACCATGTCTTGTAATTTGGGGAGGGAAGGACTGGAAGTGATGCTTAAATAATAGGAGCAGAGAGACTAATCATTGGAGGTGAGGCTTTATCCGGATCTAATGAGGACCTGGGCCATGTTTAAGGTTAGCTGTAGCTGTCAGTGGCATGTGGAACACTAGAGGATATTGAACTCTTGGCCTCATAACTGGAGGTGCTCTACCACTGAGCTAACCCCAGGTTCCAAGCATTTCTTCTCTGAACCACACTCCTCGCTGTATTTAAATACCTTGGTTTACAAAGTTGTTCATGATGATTTGTTATAGGCATTCAATATTCCAACACCAGTCCCACCACCTCTATCACGTTCCCTCCACCATTATCTTCATTTCTCCAGCCACCCCTCAATCTGTCCCCCATAGCAAGCTGACAGTAATTTGTTTTATGTTGCTTGTTGGGCTGGAGCGATAGCACAGTGGTTGGGCATTTGCCTTGCACACAGCCAGCCTGGCCGAGCTGGGTTCGATTCCTCCGCCCTTCTCGGAGAGCCCGGCAAGCAACCGAGAGTATCTTGCCTACACAGCAAAGCCTGGCAAGCTACCCGTGACGTATTCAATATGCCAAACACAGTAAGAAGTCTCAAAACAGAGACGTTACTGTGCCTGCTCGAGCAAATCGATGA